CTTGACTTTTTGGATAATGTTCAACTTGTCTCATCGATAATTACTTTATGCTCCCCCGTTTTGCCTCTCCCTTGCAGCCTGAGGCCTTTATGCCGAACCAGCCCCTCTCTCTGACGAGAGCTCATGGAAACCCTACCTTCCTGTCGATCAGACCCTTCCCCCCCTCAAGGTACAACTGCGCCTCTCCTGTCTCCCTCTTTCTCATCTCGTTCTCTCTCTAGACCGTCCGAGGGCCGCAAGGTACCAATCCCCAAGCTCCGATGCTTGATCTACAGAACACGACAGCTCTTCCCGCTCTCTACGCTGCCTATTTGCGTTGGCTTTTTGATATCTCGCAGTACTGTGTTCTTGTACAACGTTTTACTTGTGCTTTGGCCATCTCGGTCATTCCTAGTACAGCGTCTTCTTGTGCTCGTCGGATAGTCTACCCGTGCCCTCTTTGCGTGTCAATGGCACTGGGAAGGGGAAGCTATGGTAATAGTTTTGCGGCACATCTTCTCTAATCTACCGTGCCAGAAGCTAGTTAGCCTCTCACTCTTGCGAGGATCTCCAACGAGCACACCATCCACAAGGCTCTCCAATTTTTTGTCGGCCACAAGGCAAAGTTGGAAAAGAAAAAAGGGAAAAAGCACCAAACGTCAAATCTGTCGCCTTGTAGTAGCTCATCTTCAAACTACGGACGAATAGGATGCCATCAGTCAATAGATATTCGCGTCCTCACCGCTGGTAATCCACTGGACCCGCGAAACGGGGAATTTCAAGCAAGTGAAAGGTGATTACATGCGCCCGGTCTATCCACTCAGATGTCGAAGTCCATGTACGCCAGGCAGTCAAGCATCAAGATGACATGCCTGAACGCCTCACATCTCGGACTTCCACCGTCTTGAGCGTAAGAAGCTGAAGAGGAAAAGAGACCAAGAACGACCCATAGAACCGTATCCGTTGCCCTCTTTGTCCCTTACATATGTACCATGTATTCTGTATAACGTATGTATGTACATGCTCCGTTTCTCTCCCGTGCATCATACAGAAAATAAAAATGTTAAAAACGAGACAACGTGAGTGGAAGAAAGAGAAGCGGGATTCAACTCCGTGCCCTAGTTGATTCCCATAGGATAGCTAAGTCTGAGGTACATGACGCCGTACATGCTGACCTCATGACTGGGTGGAATCGGCTTTTCCTATCTGGGCCGGTTTTCGCTGCCCAAGCAATAAATGATGCTGCGCTGTACAGGAATATGTGGGGTTATCGATTTGATATCAAAGTAACCCGTGGTGTTCATGGTACGATAGGGATGAGAAGGTCGGGTGCTTCGAGTTATGAGTCATAGACGGGGGAGCTTCGTGGGCAGAAGTCATTCCCCCCCAAAGAATTTCACGTTCAGAGATCCTTTTTGAAGTTTGATGGATAGCTAACTACCGAGTACATGCCTAACATAGTGATTGCTCAAGTCGGCAGTGCAATTTTTGCTCCAGGCTACGACGAGGTCACAAGAGCGACGCAGACTTTTAGACTGCAAGCTGAAGCCTGTTGAACAGTGATCGAAACGTCTGTTCTGTAGTTTGTCATTCCTGCGAGCGTTTTCATCCCTTGCGTGACCGTGTCCCATGGATGGGGGGGGCGCCCGCGATTCGAGTCTACAGAGTAGTTTTTACCCTTTAAATCAAACAGATCGGAATACGCTGTGATTAGTTACACTTAGGTACCTATTCATCAACGATCACTTCATGGATTCTCCAACAGAGCAGGGGTCCGTCGTGCATCTTGCGAGTTCTTTCACCATTCAAAGGGAAAAAGCCACTCACGTTCGACAGTCCCTCACGGTGACTCAGTACCACTCGGCAAAAGTACGCCTGCAAACCAGCCCAGACAGAGCCCACAAACCCCGAACATCGTGTGGTACGTACACTTTTAAGCACTCCAGAGCCGGGTCACTTTTTAGTGGATATCTGAGGGGCCTTGGGCACCGGACGCATGAGCGGGATCCGATCATGTATGCAAATCATGAGGCCCCAAGATTCGGGTTTGGCGGATTACGAATAATCAACTAGTAGACGAATTAAGGGTACGGCCCGTGTGGCCTGGTGATTTACCGGCCATCTTTGCCACAAAACTGTGAAGATACGGGATAATTAGCTCGCCTTTGGGGAAAGAATAGTTCAATCACCCAGCATTTTTAGGGAGAAAGAGGCGTTCTGCTCGATGAGACAGGTCCAGTGAGGAGTAATATCCGAGATCCATGTCTGTCTGCATGGAAGATCTTGAGTCGGATGAAAGATGGGCAGCGATGATGTATAGCTCGTCTGGCCACCCGCCGTAAAAAAAACCCTCCTAGCCAGCGAAGAATCGCGTACTCCGCGTAATCCCATAACCAAAATATTACCGTCTGGCGTAATTACTAAGCATTTGCCAAGCCTATCTAGTCCAAGATTGGTCTAGTACAGTTTCCAATGGCTCCCGCCTGCAGTCGGCCGGCCGACCTCACTCGCCGCTGCCACGCTCCATCCCCGCTTTCGTCGCAACGAGCCAAAACGTCCCCTCGCCCGCCGGCCCTCTCGAACGGGATCCTGGGGAGCTGAAGAGCCTTTTCAGGCCCTTAGGCATCTCGCCGTTCAATGCGCCGAATCAGCTTCTCACCCAGCAAAAACCAAGGGGGGGGGGCGAAACACTCAAGACCCGTCGTCCCACGAATTCTCATCCAATGGCCGCATCACCTTGGTGATCCCTCTCTTTTCTTGACCAGGGGCAATTTATTCTCTCAGGCTAGTCGGACCTCCCTTCGGACCTTAATTCTTTTCTGCCTGTGGGCTTTCTTCATACTGTCCGAGGGGGGGGGTTAAAGAGGTTTTGGCTGCCAGCCTCAGGTCGGAAGCTTCTTGCTGGAGGCCGTCATTCGCTGCTCTTCAGGGTGGCGCATCAGGGAGTCCAACGTACCATTTCCGCTCTTCCATGTCACATGGGGCAATACTTTAGGGCTGTCCATCCATCAAGACGTCCATTTGCTTGAATACCATGACCCCTTTGGGTGATAATTGTGATTTACGAACAAGGTCCCCAGGACGAAAGTCCAGCCGTATTGCTTGGCTCTCCCTCTCTCTTTCGCCCTGCCTCAGGCCCATTTCCTTTTCCACCCTCTTTCGATTTGAGCCCAGGTTTGAGTCTCCGGCTTTTTCTTTGTTCTTTGGCCTTTTAATCACTGCGACGCAATCTCCGTTCATCGCCTCATGGTCCCTGTTTCCCTTGACACCCCCTGACATTGGGCACACTTCTCTCAACAGAAGTACATCTGTGCGCCCACGGTTCCAAGCTGCCCTTGATAGGTTGGTGATGGCTTCACTGCGCTTGTCGCGCCCGAAGAAGTATACAAAATCCCGCCTTGCACCAGCCTAGACTGGAACAACAGATTTCAAAAGATTGCGGGAAAAGGCTGCATAGGATCCTTGATCCAGCATATAAAATCATTTGCAGCACAAACTGTTACCTTCACGTGCCCTCTTGCCTGCACCCTCTGGAAGTGAATTGCCAGCACGGATGTAGCTAACGTCATGGAGCATATCAAAATCTCGGTTTCATGTAATTTCTGTGGTCCACGGGAAATGGACACCCTTTCCTTCGGTACCTTCGCATTTTCTCCTCCATTCACTGACGCTGGCTGCATGTAAATGCATGCATACCTCCTTACCTATTTCTTTGTTCAAACCCCGTATGTATGTACTGCAGTAGCCAGTCCGCGTTAACTGCGGCTAGCTTTGATACCCGACGCTTGCCACTACATTAGACCTCGCTTTCTTCCAAATCACAATGTCCTCATTGTGCACGATTTTGTACTGCTACAAGAACACCTGCACCGCGGACGGTTTATCCGACGTTGAACTGAAAATAGCAAGTCGATATCAAAATTCAAATATGCAAATTGTCAACTCAATTTCCATCCTTTCTACTAACAGCGGCCTTCGTTGACACGCCACGTTTTCTCCCCGCTCTTAGACCACCCCGCAGCCGCGAGTCGGAACAGGCGATCGCGAATTTTTGAAACATCATGGCAATTGTCTTCCTGACTGCTATTAATTAAACATACATACATGAACTTCTCTGTTCACTAGCACTTTGTTTTGATATCAGAAACGATGTACCCTCTTCTATCTTCAGGTTCAAGGCATGTGAACATCCACACTTCTTCAGCATCTAACCCTGCTCGTTCCGCCAACTATGCCCATTGCCCCGTCATTCACTCCTTTTAGCCGTTGCTTTTCGCTCTTACCCAGCGAATAAAAGCATCCCCTTTTGAAAAAAATGAAAAAGGTACGTCAGCCCCTCAAAGCCATCTGTTTCAGTTTCGAACCAAACATGCCCACCACTCTAGCCGGTCCAGCAGCAACAGTCCATGTGGCTTCTCTTTTCCTCTCTCTCTCTCTCACTCCCTTTTTTCCTATGTGTTTGGAAACTCGGTGCATGCACTCTGTATGCATTCGTGCCATACTCCCCCGGCAATATAAAAATTCGCCTTTGCAATAAAGTTGCATATGTACGTATTCACCTGATGGCAAAAAACGAAACCACGAAACCAAAATGAGGATTTACCCCTACATGGCGGAAAAAAGATAAATTTATCTCTCGATCGAATTGCGGAAGAAGCAGAGACGTCTCCCTCGAGAGCGCCAGTATCAAAGCTGTTTCGGATGCAATGCGGCCTTGCCAAGTAAACTAGCACTTACAGTTTTTGCGAGTGCTTTTTCTTTTTGAATCACATACGCATGTATGTATGTCCATTGCCATTTTGCAATGATAGGTATGGGGGCGTAAATGCTGTGGCGATTGATGGGGCGACTACTCCCTGCTGTGTATGCCTCCGAATGCTTTGTGGTGGCCAAAACGTCCTTCCAAGCGGGCCATACCAGGAATCCATGTATGTACCCAATATGTGTAGTCCTTTGGAATATTCACTATATCATTGAAGTAACTATTTTTATTTTATTTACTTTTTACTTTTCTTTTCTTTCTTGTCCATTATTCTCTTTCGCGTAATAGATGAGAACAAAATTCTGCTTCTCCAAAATATATATATCATGATAATGAATACTGAGCCACGAATGGATAGGATACCACAAAACGCCTGCTCCAATGTAGAAAAAAGAAACCACTAATGGCTGTGCAGCATATGTAAAGGGAAATAAACCCCTCTCCCGAAAATCTAGCAAAGCAGTTCCCAGGGGAATCACAGCGAGAGAGGTAAGACAATACCATGCAATCTGAATGCTGTCGTGGAAAAGAAAAGCAGGGAAAATGCACCATCGCAACGATAGTACATGTGGTAGATAGGGAGTGATATGATATTTCACCGATGGGGTTCAAATGAAGAATTCGTGCTTTTTGTCTGGGATGTTGAATTTTAGCTATTCCCAACGCCTGGGATAACTTTGAGTATGGGTATCCTGGAACAGTTGTCGGCCATGTTGCACCCTGGAAAGGTACAGAGATCCAGCTCTATGGTAGAGAAAATCTGGCCCTGTGGGTATGCATATATGTTAGATCAGACATGAACAGATACTTAGAATTTGATGAAGTCGTGTTGCTCGGTGACCTCTTCTCCTGCATGTGCACCAGGGATGATCACTTCGGGTTCGTCGTCATCAAGCTCATCAGAATCAACATCATCAGAATCAATCTCGTCGTATGCCTCCTCTTCACTAGATACATCGTCCGCATATTCTCCTGGATTTTCCGTAGCGTGGGTGTTGTTATCTGCCTTATTAGCGGCGAGTTTGCGGATTTGGCCCGCTCGGTCAATGTGCGGTAACGGGCATTTTTGCTTGGCACACTTGCCCATGTTCGCATAGTCTGGACACTCTATAACATGGCGGTCCTGACACTGGTCACCTTTGCCGCAGTATCCCAGGATAGCAAAATCCCGACACACTGGCGCTCCTGGTGTCACTCGGATGTGCGCATATCGACATGCGGGGTTAGAACAGCGGCCACGAATGAAGTGGACGCAGGCAGGAGATCTCTCTGGTGATGGCTCATGCGAAAGATCACACGATGGTCCTGCACTGCATTTACCTGTTTGAAGAAATTCCTTGCAGATGGCAACCTTATTCGGATCGTGAATATATGAGCACTTAGGCCCCTTATAGCAGGAACCTAGAAAGAAAACCATGGTTAGTATTTGCCTAGTAGGGGGCATTCGCCTAGTTCAAATCGAAATTCCATCTGGCGAAGCTTCATTGTAGCTTTCATTCGATAGAGCCTTTCGGTGGGAGGGAGAGTAAGGGTACCCGTCGCAGTAAATCTCTTGCAGAGTTCATCCTTTTTCCTAACAGCCCCGGTTTTCCTGCCGCCAGTGTCAGATATCTTATAGCTCTCACGGGGAATCGACACGCACTTCTTTGAAACCACGGCCCCTAACCGATGTAGGTTCCCGTTCTTGCTTCTGACAAATGTCACGCCACCAACGTTTACTTTTTTCGGAGTCGCATTTGCGGCTGTGGGGTCATCTATCAACTGTAAGCCGGTTCTCACACCTTCTCTAAGCCTTGGGGTAGGCTCACTTGATAATCGGATTAACTTGCTCCCTCCTTTAATAACTTGGAAGGGGATTTCTTGTATGACGATCTTGTATGAATCCGGACGTACACCAGCAGCGGCGGCTTCTGCAGTCGGAGCAACAATATGCTGCGCAAATCTTAAGACTTTCGCTTTTTCCAGCTCCGCTTTTTTCTGTGCCTTTAGCTTGCGGGTCTCTTCAATAGCTTTCGTTCTCGCTTGGGCTTCCTGGTCGTAGATTGCGGTATTGATAAGTTGCATGTGACGATCGCGTTTCGCTACCCACCCAGTTTGCTGTGGCGGTTTTGCTTCGACATTCATGTCGCCAGGTACAGTGGTAGATGAGCTGCTATCCGCAGTGTCGGGGTTGGGTGTCCCGTTATTGAGGACGAGAGTTCGGTGGCGATGGGGTCCAGCAGCGCGTCTTGAAGGAGGCCGGCCACGTCCACGATAAGGCGCCCAGCCAGGATGAGGCCTGTGAATGCTACCATAGCTGGTATGCGATGGGGCGTTAGCGTAACCGCCGCGTGAGAGAGGCGTAAGTTGACTCTTGTGCTGGTTGATTTGCCCTGGGGGATTTTCATTTAGCTCTTGTCAGAATAGATAGATGATAAGGGGTAATAATATACCAGCAAGGCGGCCGATCCTGGCTAAGAGTTCTTGGTCTTCACTCATTCTGAATCTAACGTCTGAAGCTGATTGTCGACATTTACTTTTGCTCAAAGGATGAGCGACGGTCGCTTATTATGGCGAGCCGCTTCCAAGAAGGAAATGGTTCGGCTTATCATTTATCCGAAATCCATATCACTTCGCAGGCGATGCTCGGATTACTCCAACATCTAAAAAGGCAAGGGAAATATCATGAGAAATGGAGTATGATTCAGAATGCGTGTCTAGTAGCTGGATACATAATAACGCCAACAGAAACCTTGATGTGGATTTTACTTATAGTTCCACTGCCGAACTCCCAACACCAAACCACGATAGTATGTAAATGCAGCCAAACACTATATGGACCTCAACGCTGTTCAAACCACATTTTCAAATTTAATGTTTTCTTCATCATCATTATCGGTACCAATTCCGGAAGCGGTTGGCTCTGCCTCAGAACCTTCATCCATCGCGCTTGGAGCCAGCTCCTGCTTCGCATCTTTATACGCCATGGCGTTCGCGTAGCTTGCTTCCCGTGCTTCCGGCTTAAGCTCCCATGTCATCGCAAAATCACCACTCTTGACAAGGTGTGCGACCATCTCCAAGGTTTGCTTGAGGTAAGCCTCTGGCTGCTTAAGCTCGGCTTTGAGGGATTTAAATGGCCAGTACCTGTATCGTCGGAAACAGGCGTAGATGAGGTCCAGGAGCTCGTTTTGCGGCATACGGGCGGTTTTGTTGTCTTGGGTGCGAATCCTTGGGGGTTTCGTAACTTGCTATTGGATGTCAGTAATAAACCACAATATAGAGGTGAAAGAGAAATGACGAAGGCTTACAATAAAGTTGGACTTGTCGGCAGCTTGAGCAGTCTTCGGCTGCAACATTTTGCCAGTAACTCTTTCGATAAACTTGGTGTTTCTCTTCGGTTTAAGGGCTTCTAGAGCTCTTTTCTCGGCTATTCTATGATATTCCTCATTTTCAACGGGAAGGCAGTTGAACTCATCGTGTACTCGCGCAGCGATGGCCGTTTGCTCTGAAGAAAATATTAGTATTTCCAGAGTTCTCACATATGGACAAATGGAGAACACACTTGGAATAGTTTTCCTTGTATATGGCTCCCACTTCTTCTTGTTTGCCTTCTTCCTTGAATCCCGTTTCATTTGCTCGTACACGTACGATCGCCCGTGGGGCTGGTTTTCATTGAATAGAAGATGCGCCCTGTCTTTATACCCAGGAAGATCCTTCTCTGTAAATATAAACGTATTCTGCACGGCGTAAGCAGTCCGATCTGCATTTATATTCTGGCGTTTCAGATTATAATCCTTCGGTACTCCCTCATTCTGGGGGATATCGAGTAATCGAAGACTGATCTAGACTCATAGTATTAGCTGAGTCGGAAGAGAGCAGAAAGCTCCAGATCCGGATTCAGACCCATACCCGCTTAATGTCGGTTGGCGGCCCTTCCACCCTTACTGTGCCGATCTGTATCTCCTCATCGTCGTCGAGTTTCGACCAATTCTCCCAGAGAATTTTCGGAATCCTCGTCAGCCATACATCTTGCGCGGCATTCGCAAAATCTAAATCACCCGTATCCTCATAGATATCCTCATCTGATAGCATCGCAATGTCATTGTCTTTTGCGTCGGGTTCTGATTTGATCGCCAGTCCGGGACTTGGTTCCGGTTTGACGGCGGAAGCGCCAATGTTTGACATTATCGTCCGCTCACGATGGAGTGTAGAAGCAAAGGAAACGGCGATGGCAGATATGAAAATATATTTGGGGCCGGAGAAGCTGTTGAAAGGGGCTGGCCGTGACGGATTGTGTCTGTATGCTCTTTAGAATGAAGCTTCGCATGCCTGTCAGTGACAATTCGATGAAGTCACTGGATCACGTGATTATGGGGATTCGCTTTCAGGTGACTAAGCAGCTTGGTTGAGCTTCCGAGAGCTTCGAGTAATGAGGGGGAGCCTATGTTTTTTGTTTGTTGAAGCTCTGTTTGGCCCGGTACACTGACATCCTAATTTAGGTGGTTGTATGAGGTTGTAATTGTGATCAGATAGTGTGCTAGTTCACTGCGATCATGGCTTCGGCCGAAGTCACGTCTGCCCTCGCAGCAATTGATGCAACATCAAACCAACAGGCCAAAGCAGTACGGTACAATGAACTCCTCTCCCAGATAGTATCCTCATCCAGCCCCACCACCATATCGCAAGACCTTATCGCCTTCCTGGGATCCATATTGAGCGAAAATGTGAGCATAATCGCCTCTCGCCCTCTTCTCGATGCCTTTATAAATGCCCTCCGCACGCTCCCTGCAGACGTCCAGATCAATGTCGGTCAACACGCCATCCACGCTCTTCAGAGCCGATCAACATCGGTGGAAGAACAAGACTCCTCGATACGTGGAATACTTGCGGATGCATATGAGTCGCAAGATGAATATCTAGCTGCTGCCAGGGTCCTTCAAGGAATTCATCTGGATAGCTCGCAGCGTTTGATATCGGATGAAGATAAGATGCGCATGTGGATACGAATTGTCAGACTATACCTTGAAGAAGATGACCCTACAAGTGCTGAAGGATTCCTGAACAAGATAAAGAATTTACCATCAAAGATTCAAGATCAGGAATTGAAGCTCCATTTCCAGCTATCACAAGCACGAATTCTCGACGCCCGAAGACGCTTTCTCGATGCCAGCCAGGAGTATCTCAATGTTAGTTTGGCCACTGGTGTGGATGAAGGGGATCGACTTCACGCGTTATCTGCGGCTATAGTCTGCGCGGTCCTGGCACCAGCAGGACCTCAAAGATCACGCATGCTTTCGCGACTCTCCAAGGATGATCGATCCTCCTCGCTAGAGGAACACAGCATCCTAGAGAAGATATTCAGGGATCATCTCCTTACGCCGGAAGAAGTGAAAGCCTTTTCGATAAAATTGGCTCCTCACCAGCTTGCACAGACAGCGGATGGGTCAACCGTTCTTGACAAGGCGGTTATCGAGCATAATCTGCTCGCGGCAAGTCGGCTATATGAAAATATCCATGTGGATAGTTTAGCGTCCATTCTTGGCCTCGAAGCGAGCGGAGATATGAGTGCTGCCGAGAGGGCGGAGGTATACGCTGCCCGAATGGTAGAACAGGGTCGACTTGAGGGGAATATTGATCAGATCGCGGGTGTCATCTACTTTAAGTCAGGAGTAGATGGCGTTGGGCCTACGGACACGGAGGGGAGGAGCTTAAGAATATGGGACGCTGGCGTGCAACATTTGACGGATGAAGTGGAAAAAGTCGCTGCCTCCATCATGGACGAGTTCCCCGTAAGTCCATTTTGGATATCCCTTTGAGCTACTTGACACTAATCGCTTTCTACAATGCAGGAATTTGCAGCGGCACAGATGGTCCACTGAATGGCCTGAACCCGTGTAGATTCTTGAAGATGGAACAAGGTGTTACTCTCTCACCCTGGGCACAGGACCAGTTACTTCGTAATGACATAATGAATGAAATGACTTAAGTATCCCTCCGGAGTGAAAAGGCACTGGCTCCCGTGGAGTCTCATTCATCAGCAGAGATCCATTGTACGATGGTGTAAAAAGTATCTGTACGCCATACCATTTCTTGTATTCTCGTAGCAAGAGGCACACGCTTCGCACAGAGGGCGCGTCCAAAATGTCTTGTAGGCCAGGAATCAAGTAATTCAGAGACTGGAGAACAATTGCTTAGCCCGGTGGAATTTCGCAGGGCTTTACTCCGTAGCTGGCCTAGTTCCATATTTCTTGGAGAATTGCGGCCCAACCGATTGAACTGTCTCTACGGAGTAATGACTAACTACGGAGTACTCCGTACGTAGTAGTCAATTGACTAACGTGGTGTGTGGCGAAAGAAGAGGGTCGTCCAGCCTGACGTCAGACGAAAACGGCTTGCTGCTGTACCACCATGCCCAGCAGTGAGGGCATTGCTCATCGCCCGTATACGCAGTAGTTAAGGATGATTTCTCCTCTTTGCAGGATGGACGGAATGAATGTAACGCGCTGCGCATCTGAAGTAGCCGCTCATGATGTGATCCAGGTCAATTTCCAACTCAATTGACCTCCTCCTAACACCCTGAGGATGCAGAACCACGTTCCCCGCCAACGACAAAACGTCTCAGGGACGAGAGAGGCACATAATGGCACCACTCGCAGAGCCTTCGATCCCCTCGAACCTCCTCAGCGCAGCCAGCCTCGTCACCCTACTGGTGGGCTGGCATATGCCCTCTTCATGTTCTCGTCGCAATGGTTTCTCGTCCCGCAAGGCATGGGCATCATCGCCGTAATCCTCCACCAACTTCCTTACCAATTCCGCGGGCTGGAAATAATATCCAAGATCGTCTGGGTTTACACGATTGTCTTGCTTGGTTCATGTCTGGGTTTATACGTCCTCCGCATCCTGCTCTACCCCCGACATGTCGCGTACCAATTACGACATAGCATCCTGGAAACGTCGTGCCTGGCGAGCATTTCAATCGCCTTCACGTCGATCATACAAATGGTTGCATTGACTGTGGTAAGAGGATGGGGCTCTGCCTGGGGAATTGTCGCCTTCGTCCTGTGGTGGATCAACACCGCTCTCGCCGTGCTCGCTGTCCTGGGTATACCCTACATCTACGTTCAGGTTCAGCCGCCCGGGATCAAAGGTGTTCCTCCGGCGACTCTGTTACCGCTCATCGCTGCATTGACATCCGCCGCCGGAGCGGGAGTGATTTGCCGATATGGTGCGATCAGCGCACGGCTACAAGTGCCCATGATCATCGTCTCCTACCTAGAGATCGGGATCGGATTACCTCTCGCTGTCTGTTTAGAAACGATCTACCTTGCTCGACTATTCGACCGAGCATTCCCGGCAACGAAAGAGATCTATCAAACCATGATACTTTGCGGACCCTTCGGCCAGGCAAGCTTCGCGTTGCAAATGCTAGGCCAGGTCGTCCAGCGAGGAAGCTTCGCGTCGTATGACCGGGGCACATTCCTCACCGCAAACTCCGCGCCCACGGTGGGAGTCACCAGCCAATTCGCGGGCCTGCTATCCTGGGGCTTTGGCACGTTCTGGTGGGCATTATCCATCATAAGCATCGTGCATTCTCTTCTCGCGCAGTCGGGTGGTTTGAGAGCGACAAGCTTCACACTGGGCGCTTGGTCGCTTGTCTTTCCATGGGTTAGTAACTAACCGTTGTTATCCTGTCGCATCTAGTCTGCATTTCACAATCTAAAGATTGAATGAAGGCCATGCTAAGAGAAAAACAAAATAGGGAGTATACACAAACGCAGCCATTATGCTCGGCCAGATCATGAAATCTCCCGCTTTCGATGTCTGGTCTACAGCGCTAACCATTCTTTTACTTTTCATAGCTATAAACAACCACATATGGACGGTGAAAGGGTTGATGTCAGGGACCATCTTCGGTCTTCAGAAGGGCTAAAAGTATCAAGACGACGAGATCGACAAATCTGCGTGGGGTTTGACAAATGAATATAGATGATATCATAGATTTCCACTGTTGAAGCCTAGATTGTATTTAAGAAACACAGTCTAGCTTCTTAAACTGCCTATCACAATCCCAATTAACCGGTAATAAAGCAGCTAATTTAAAATTTTTTTCCAAAGGCCATGAAATAGGGGCAAGAGGGACTCCTCAATCAGAGGAGGGGTGTATTCATTAATTTCCCGCTATCGATCCATCAATCAACCCATCCATGCCTTATCAGCCCCTGTCAAACGTTTCGAACTAGTTGACCCTTCGGCATCTGTCAATATCCAAGGAACCAATCCATTCTTGATCTGCCCTTAACAACATCCCCAGTATTTTTTTTTCTCCTTTTCAATCTCTCCGAAATCCCCGTCCAAGCGATTATGCACAATTTCCGGCGCCAATCAAGCTATTTATCTTCAACCGTCCGTTGCAAAATGGCCCTTGAATTGTAAAAAAGGAAAAGGCAAGAGTAAGTGTAGGCGCATGTGTTAGGGTACAAAGCAACATGGCTATCTATGCAAGAAATTTTTTATTTTTCCTCTCTTAAACCAATGCGCGCATGCTCCTATTCCATGGCCACAATGCGGATCTGATTGAAATGAGAGGCAGAGTAGAGGGAGTTTTGGGTTCAATGAATATGCATGTGAAGAAGAGGGGATACCATGGCATTTCCGGAGGGCTGCGATTTTTTAAAGTTGGCTTAGATACAATATGTGCTTTGCATGCTTCACAAAGCTGAGAATACAAATAACTGTGAACGGCGCAGGGGTTAGCATCTTGAATGTGAAATAGCAGTGATGGTTGTTGGAATGGGAACTTACATTGTTTGTTGCAGCGATAGCAATGCTATCCTCAAATGGATGCCAACTCATGTGCAGAATCTTCTTGTTAAAATCAATTTGATCTGCATCTGTCTCTTTACGCATGCGTCCTCCAATTCCAGCAGGACTGCCGGCTCTTGATCCACCCTTCTTACCAGCATTTGTCGAAATCGAAGAGTTAATGGGAGTTGGAACGCCCACCTTCTTCGCTTTGAACGCGGTCTTATCAGCCTGGAGGACAACCTCGGTCTCCTGGCTTGGGTCTGTTGGATAAATCATGAAGTTGTTGTTGTAACTTCCAGTCATCACATTATTGGCATCGCCGGAGAAGACTACTTCAAATTTGTCAAAGATACTATCATTTTCGTACGTGTCGCAGAGCCTCGGGCGTAGATGCTCGTGGATCGGAATTGTCTTAACAGGTTGACGTTCCATGTTTACATCCCAGATCTTCACAGTGAGGTAGTCGCGGGAAACGATATAGCGGCCGTCGTGAGAGAACCGAACATCAGAGATGGAAGAGATGATTTCAGAAAAGAAAGATCGAGAAGACACATCTTCTTCTTGTTCAAATTCTGCGGGTGAACAAAATCAAATGTGAGCACAGGTGTATTCCATTGGCATAGAAAGATAAACAATATTCCAAGGTGGTCAGAAGAGTACGTACGTTTTGCATGCTCATCGCACAAAGCGCGCTGCCGCATATCGGCCAACTTGATCGTTCCCTTGGAACTAGCATACATGAACCAGTTGCAGCTAATAGGGTGGAACTCTGCAGCAGTTATAACCTCAGTCAATTCTTCCATATTCGCTGGCTTGATATCGACAATGTTGAAACTCTGGTCTTGGATATTCAAATTCCACAAGTTGATACGTAGATCGTCGCTGCTGATGAATGTCTCTCCATCGCTGTTGACCGATATGGAATTAATGTGATAGGCATGTGCATTAGCGTAGATACGCCGTGGGACTGCCGCAACTACGGTATCATGGTGCGTCATGCGAGGTAACTTGAGGGCCGATGCGTCCTTGAATGAAATGTGCGGTGGTCGCGGGATACCCCCTCCACCAACAGCGCTGCCTGGGGTAAGGTCATGGGAGAGGTTATTCTCTGCAACCACCTTGAGCGACTTGTCAAACACCTTCCACAGCTTTATAGTCTTGTCGTTCGTCGAAAGGAGGAAATGAGAAGCATTTTGCCGTCTGCACCATTTTATTTTGTTGATCTTCTCTTCGATCTCTAAGGACTTGAGGTAATCGAATTCCGGCTCGTGCGACTGAAATTCGGTATGGAATTTGTATTCGCATGTTTTTTTCTAGACCAGCAACGTCAGTCACCCCATTCAACCCCGAAACGACAACGTAGGCGTGGGGAACGCATACAGTTTCATTCCTCTCGAAAAGAACCACTCGACCTCCCTTGTCGCCAGTCGCCAAATAGTTACCCGTATGATCGAACTCGACGGTGGAAATGATATCGGCTATAGGCAAGGTAAAAGAAATATAAGCGAGGAGTGACAAATGGAGTGATAGCAACAATGTGATTCAATGCGCGATGGGCGTTTGTATACCTTCAGTGATATCTTCAACGTCGCCCTTGTCTCCAAAACATCTAGTTAACAATCAGTGGCGGGTCTCACAACATAGCCAGACAGAGCTGCCACAGAAGCATTGCTGTGTGCTGCGATACAGGCTCTTCCAGCAGAATTCAAGACGTACTGTGTAAACTTCCAGGTTGGCGAACCTGGATCCCCGTCAACCATCTTTCCTAGCCGCTACCTGACCTTTAGGTAGCAAGATGAAGCAGGCAAACGCAATTAAAGATCCCACCGCAAGAGTGGATGGTGTGCTTGAAACTGTAGGGGACAGCTGCAAAGCAGAAACTTTTCCACACGGTGAGGAGATGTGGGATTTATAAGGAATTATATAAGGTGGGATACGTTCTAGAAACCAAAGGTAGGAGGGTTCAGTTGATGTACTTCGGTCTCAAGTGATTTCGATCTGAGGTGGTTCGGTCTGAAGGAGTTCGGTCTGAAGATGAATGCTGCGTGCGCCGACAGTATTAGCTTAAGCACAAGTTAGAAAGTTAGGGTTCCAATAGAAGAGTGGAGGAGAGGGAGGTTATTGTTATAAGAAGTGAGTGATGTGATGTGGGTAATTGAACACTTGACAACCAGCTCACATCAGGATATGGAGGTGACGGGAAGCTTCCAAGACAAGTGACGGGATAGTGACGGGATGGTGACCAGAGTAGCAGGAGAAGGTCGCATTTTAAGAATGCATTTTTCTAACTTACAGGTAATGAAGAAGGGAGAGGTTTCGTCGGCAGAGGAGCAGTGGGATGGGATTTTGCTGAAATCTGAAGCTAAGAAATAGAAAGGATGATGACGGCTGTAGAAGGAGGAGGATGGGAGAGAAGAAAAAAAAGACAAGGCACGCGATGCTGAGAAGGAAGCAGAAAACGGGAAAATGAGCCACAGAAGATACTGAAAAGAGGAGAAAAAGAAAATCAGGATGAGGAGGGGAGTGGAGTGTATGGCGATGCTCCGGCGATGGCGGCGGCGGCGGCGGTGGTGGTGGTGGTGTTGGTACTCTGGGATCGATGGAGGGGAGAGGTGCCGGTTTGGGGGGGAAAGAAAACAAGTGCGGATCCCGTCGCTGGAAGCAGACGAGGAGAGGCAGAGAGAGAGGGAAGTGCCAAACCTGGTCACAACTCTGTGATGTAACAAGCTGCAGAGCACCAGACAACAACAACGCTGTTGGTTCGCAACAAGAAGCAGAGAAGTAGAAAGACTTCTAGGTAAATGCCCTTCTCTTGCTGACAGAGTGGGCAAGATTGAGATAAAAAAAAAAGTCGAAAGAAAAAGGGAAAAATCTGGGAAGTCGTGCACCAAGAAGCTACTTGTAGAGGTACATACCTCTCCCTGTGCGAGCTACAGTGTAGTTTTCACGCATTAAATACTAAATGGGCATTTCTCAGTGATGACCGCACAGTTTGTCAAAAGCAGCAGGGTGTGTTATGGAGATATTCAGTGAACTGCTCCATTGCTTGAGAGCTTCTTCCGCCTGCGACGTCTCCCAGCGATGATACACAACTTGCAAGGCTGCTTTAACAAGGCGCTTATCTAACTAAAACTCACTGATCTTAACTAAGTAGCCAGCAGGTACCGGCCGACGATCGCCCGCTTCTTGAGGTCAATCTTCACATGCAGCGACTCCAGCCCTACCAAGACCATCCATTCCATCCTTGACAGCCCGCAGTCGAGGCAAACCGTGCGCAGGCATCATTAGACCCGAAAATTTCACATCGCCGCGGTGATTGTTCTCCCTGTCATCGCGTTCTCTTCGAGCCTGGGTTAATTTCAGGAATCGGAAAATGCGGTGAGATGAGCTTCTGGCATCTATCATAGATACTAGTTACAGTGATTTTGCCGGGGGGGAGCAAGCATTCCACCGACTCGAACAATGGATGGAAAACGGCCTGTGCCACCGGACGAGAGAGGCAGTAACCAGGATATCCCTCCAAAATCTGAGATTTCTGATTCAGATAATAATTCTCCCGCCCAACCAGCCCCCGCGGGGAAGTCCCTTGCTGACCGGATCCAATTCTCTGCCTCCGGCCTCCTTCAAAACACCTTTCTCAACACCCGATCACCCTCCTTGAGCGACAGCCTCGCATCAGGCCTTTCTGGGAGCTTGGCCAATTACGGCAAACCTGGTTCTTCACAGGGTGGTCCGTTTGCCGGTCAACAATCCAGTCATGGCGTGATAAACGATTCACTGCGATCCTCCGGCGGACGAAGCGCACCTTCAACCTCGGCCATACACTCGATCGGGGGGCCCAGTCTACGGTCTGAGTCGTTCCGGTCGAATTTGACATCTGCAACAACCGACCAGGAAAATGCCGATCTGCTAAGGTCCTTCGAAGAACAATTGAATCGGGAGGAGTTTTTATTCTCACCAGAAGACAATATCGGAAAGGGCAAAGGCAAGCTTATCGCCGAAGACACAAACCCACCACCTCTCCAGCACTTCTCGTCCTCAGTCGCTCTTGAGTCAGCTTGGTCTCATCCCTCCCAGGCTAACCCAAATTCCCACCCGGCAACCGAAACAACCGACGGCTCAGCCGTCCTCTCCCTCCTTTCAGATCCATCCTTCGACCCCTTAACCCCTTCCTCCGTCCCTCCATCCCCAACCCTCGCCCCCATCCCCGACTCCACAGTCATATCTCCTGCGTTGCGCACAGAACCGCTTCCGCCAGTCTCCCTTCTCCCCGAGATCCAATCTCTCCTCCTCCTCCCTCCAGAGGAACTTTCGTCCATCCCCACAGTCTCCGAGTGGCTGGACCTCGACGTTTCATATACAGACGCCGTCTGGGGCGGTGCGCTGAAGACATACACCGAAGAAGCTAGGAGGGAGGTTGAGGAGCGGAAGGAAAAAGGTGCAGACCCGGGTACTGGCGACGGCGGTGTGTATGGAGGCCCGGCTGTGAGAAGGCTGGGGATGATCTTGGCGCATCTGAGAGAGAAAAAGAGTCCTGTTGGAACTTGACCGGATACATAAATATCTTTTTGCTCGCTTTGGTCGATATCTAGAGATGTATATAAATTGCGCACATACGGGCCGGGTGTTTTAACTGGATTTTATATGTATATATCAATGTCCCCCGATGGCTACGGGTTGTTTAATGCAGCTACTGTACAGTAAACTAGATATACCCAGTAAATTTCGAACAGAATCGAGAGATAAATTCTTAGAAACAAAAGGCTGTTTACACCAAGAGAAGCCGCCCCAAGGAAAAAAAAGGCTATACAATGCAATATCGTAACTAAAAAGAGTAAAAAACAAATTCCGTTATTGTGGGATAATACACGCATGTCCGAAATAGGAAATTAGAAAATTAGGCAGAAAGAAATCCCAGTCTGATCGGATAAAGAAGGGAGGAGAGGTGGTCGTCTATGGAGAGTCAGGAGGGCGATTTGTTCTAAAACTTCAAGCTTGGGGTCTGTCCCTTTACACGTCCGATAACGATCTGAGAGGCATATTTGGGAATGACTTCATCGTCATGGAGCATCTCGAACTCTGAGGATTAAGTCAGCATGGCCAACACGCAATTAGCAGAATTGGTTTCACAGGTTTAGCGTACCTTCGGTAGCATCTTTGCCCATATGGCTGAACAGAGCCTGGGCACCACCAGGATGCTCGTCAAGCCAGTTGGAAACATCCATCACGACACCCTTGACGACGATCCAGAGGTCGTCTTTTTTGTTGTGTTTAGCGACTTCTTCCATGGTGAATTCCTTCTCTGGGACTTTGAAATCGGAGATATCCGCTTCAGCAGGCGTGGATGCCGCGGCGGGGGCGGGAGTCGCTGATGCATCGGCCTTTGGGGCGGAGATTTGGGCCTGAACCTGGCCCTGGCCCTTGCCGTCGCCAGGAGCAGTCCACTCAACAGAAATCTTACCAGGCTGCGAAGGGTCAATGTGGAGGGAGATTTGGTTCAAGCGAGACTGAGCAGTGGCACCAGGGTTGGAAAGCACCTGCTGGAAGAGATATTCGCTAGCCGAGTCACCGGCAACACGGCCGTAGACGACACAGCCGAGGAGAGAGGAGCCACCGAGACGATTAGCTCCGTGGACACCACCTGCAAGCTCACCACAGACAAACAAGCCATCGAATGGCTTGCCTTCCTTGTTGAGGACTTGAGCCTTGTCGTTGATCTCAATACCACCCATGGTAAAGTGAAGAACGGGCTCCATCACAGCAACGTGGAATGTGTCATCAACGGAGAAGGGCAAGTTGTGGAAGTATTTCTTGCCAAATGGATCCTTCTTCTTGCCTTCGGCAATCTGGTTGTAGTCATCGAAGGTCTTCTTCAATGCGGCTTCTCCACAGCCAATCTCTCTCGCAAGTTCCTTTCCGGTCATCTTCTTCATCAAACCACGGCCAGAATAGTGGCGGGTGTGGAAGTCAAGGACATTGGAAGCTTTGCTGTTGAGAATAAGACGGATAGGCCATTTTCCCTTCTCCTTCTCCTTCCACATCTCGCCGGAGACGTAATCACGATGACCCAGTTCATCAGCGAACCGCTGGCCGTCTTTGTTGAGCAAGAGACCACCCTCACCACGAAGAGCTATAGCCTGATTAGCCTTATCCACAGAGAGCTATTTGAATACAACGTACCTTCAGCAGCCAAGAACTTCCATTTGGAAGTAGGATCCTTGGGATCGACAAGACCAGTTGGGTGAACCTGGACCTTGTCCATGTCAATATCATTGGCACCAATCGCCATCAGCATCTTGTGTCCATCACCAGTGGCATGAACGCCGTTTGTGCTGGAGAGGTTGAAAGTGTCTGGTCGCCATTTCTTTAGGAGAGAGTTTTCTGTGAAATCGGCGGCATATCCACCGGTGGCCAGGACGACGACACCGTCGGCGGAGTGGGATTCGCCGTTGTACTCGTAGGTGACACCGGTGACCTTGTTACCCTCCCTGTTGATTCCGGTAACTCGTGCCTTCTTCAGCACTTGTACACGGTTGGGCTCCTTCTCCGTGAGTTCTTCCAATTTCTGCATGAGCGCATATGTGATCGCCATTCCGGGGAATTTGGCATCGTGACCACGGTGCGTACGAGGGAATGAGTGGCCACTATCCTCCTGTTAGTAAAATATGTAAGCAGCCTGAGGCGAATTGTACATGAACTTACCCAAGGCGGGATACGAGGGTCAGGTCGAGGTCGAAGACGTCCTGGAGCCATTCGACGGCCGCAGCGGACTTGTATGTGAGAACCTTGATGAGATCTGGGCGAGCCTTGTCTCTGGCGGACTTCAGGGTGTCTTCGTAGAACTGCTTGACACTGTCGCCAATGCCAAGTTCGACCTGTGTTCTCGTGAGGGCTCCGTTGATACCGGAGGTGGCTTTCGTGGAGTTGCCACCGAAGAAACCTGCGGGGCAGCCGGGTCAGCGAACGTCTCGGATTAAGGGCAAGCACAGTTGGAAAGGCACTCACTCTGCTTATCGAGGACGAGTACGTTGCCGCCATTTAGGTAGACTGTATGAGCAGCACTCAAACCGGACACTGTGTTCAAAATGGGTCAGCTCTTTGCTCGACATGTGAAGCGGAAACAGCCCGCAGAGAGGAAAAGACGTACGTCCACCCCCGACGACGATAACTCTCTGTGGAGTGGCCATGGCTGATGATAAGGAATGTAAAAGGTCTATTGCAGTAAACGTAGATAGCACAACCAGGGAGAGGAAGAGATTTGGGGGAGAACGAAGCAGTGAAAGACGACAGGAAAGGGCAGTTAAGAAGAGGAAGAGGAAGAGGGTGGCCTTGATTTAGCTCTCCCGCAGTTCGAGGTACTCCGTAACGACCCAGCGGGCCTCCATCTCGGCCGAGGTATCTCCACACAGCGAAACGGGCCCGTAAAGTTACAGCCCACTCCGATTCTGCTGGCCACCGCCGCCCGTTCTGGCCACTGGGAGCGCACGTAATTCCATTATCGCCGGCGAATGGATACAAGCGCAATTCACCCCGGGTTTCGGAGCGTCTGCCTGGGCCAATCACACCAGCTGAGTTGCAGCCCACCATGATGACATTCAACCGCGGTACAATCTCTTAGCCCTTCGTTTCTTGTGTCTGGTCTGGGGTAGGAAGTACTCCGTGATCAGCCCAGGGAGAGAAAATTCCCTGAGGTCCGGCCATCGAAACGGCAGCTTCGCTGTCCCCTGTTTGGCCTACTTCATCCTACGGTTGCGAGGTATGGCGGCTTCATTCAGCGGGCAGAACTGCTGGGTGCCATCCCGTGCATTCGATGACTTTTGTCTTAGTTCCATGAGCCTAACTCACGATTGCCTGTTGTCCCATTGGTTTATTCCCGCATTGGCCCATTGAACTCTACCACCTTTGACTCTGGCGCATGTGAAATGGATTTTCTGGGTTCAGGATTCACATGCAAGCCACGCAGTGGATCAGACATCAAGATCATTACTACCTGTTCCGTACCATCAATGAATGGGATGATCAGATCATGGTTTATTGGGTCAAAGGAATGCTCCTCTAATCGTTCCCTGCTCATATCCTCCCATCATGTGCGACAGAATGATGTGAAAGGATTATTGCCTCTTAATAGCCTAAAGGGATTTATATGAGCTCTCCCCAAAATATTGATTTGGCACCAACGAGTCCTGGAGAAGCACTGGAGGCAGGCTGCTTTAACCACCTTGGACCTATTAGTAGCAAGATGCAATTCTGGTTGATCTAGGGTTAGCCCGGGAAACTGCAATTTTCAAAATGTACCTTGCATCTTGAAGTATAGCCGTGAGGAAGTTGAAAAGTTTCAAGTGAAGAATCGTCGAGTTCAATACAAATGTGCAGAAATCACTGGACCACTGTCAAGAATGTCCCAAATCATGCCTTTCCTAGAATCCCTTGCTCACCCTCCATTTTAGCTTTATTTCATTCTCCTTTTTGTCTTTGAAGAGCCATGCAAGCATCCAAGCTAGGATGACCCAGCGCAGTCTCTTTTGAATCATAGTAGTGGAAAAGGAAAATGAAGCTATTTCCCAGGAGCTTCTGACAAGACAGAGAAAGGTCTCACTTACACATGACAAGGATGATTGTGTGGATGGGTGATGCAGCGGAGCTTGGAATCCATCGCCCTACTCGCGTGGCCCATCACATACCCTTCGCCCTGATAGTGGCTATTACATCTACCAAGTATGTGATAAACGCATCGGAGCCCGAACCTAGCGATCACCTGCTCTCCTAGTTAAAAACCTGGTGAAATGCTACCCATAGATCCATTTTTGTGGAAAAGCATCGTGTGTAATCATGTCCTACCTCAATCATCAAACGGCCAAATTTACTCGAGAAATTTCCGTTCTTCATCAGAGTGAGTTCGCTCGATTGCGAATTTCTCCTTTATTTTTCACACGTCTTGCTTTATCTCCTCATCGAAACATTCTCGGGCTGCGGCTGGGCCAACAGTGAGTCGACCAACCTTTACACACTGACGGCTGTTCAACGCAGAGGGGCTGCTCAAATGGTCCATCCACATCATCTATATAGTAGAGGCTCCCAAATATACTAAATTCCATCGCAATCCATGCCCTCTGATGGTCAAAGATTTACATGAAGACCTTCATCTTACTGGTGTCTCTGAGGGCCAAATAAGTCCGAGTTTGATTCCATCAAATTTTTCCATAATGAGATACTCGGCTCGAACAGTATTATCAATATTGGTTTGAGAGTTTCACGCATACACTTCCGGTGCCGGAGACTTCAATAGATTATGTGTTTTATTGAAGTAATCAGGCAAAGGAGAACATTTGAAGTAGGTATCCAAACTCACAAAGTCAATAGTTGCTACTTCACTAGTAGCAGTAAAGTGAGGTACTCTGGTATTTGAATTAGGAACTTTGCCAACTACCTGCCTGCCATCGTCAAGTGTAAAGATATATGCTTTTCTGAGCATGCCATCGGCACACCTCTCGATATTTGTCCAGCAGTTCGCGCCGACTGGCCTTGCTGCAACTTGAGCAAGTTCATTGACATTAAATTGAACATGACGCCTCGACATTTGCTCTTGCTCGTCCAGGAAGAAGCGCCCGCATGTGCTGTTGAAGAACTCCTCCGTAGAATTCTAGTCTGAACGTCTTGCGGGCTAACACATTCCTTCTCACGAAGATTCAGATGCCTGCCTTTCCGAATGGCCAGAGTTTGTGTCCCCCCCCCCCCCCCCCCCCCCCAAACACTGAGAGAGTGTTTGTCGAATTCGCTATTAAGCACCGATACGACTCAACGGGCGAGCCATAGGTAGCGTTCTCGGAGCTGGAAGTCCTCGAAGATCCTCAGGCCACGTTTTTGTCGTGATTGATTTCCCACCTGCCCCATGAGGTGAGAATAACTCCGTCATGTGGTAGTTAACTACACACAGAGTAGCTGCTGGAGCTCCACGCCAATATACCTAAGAACTTCAGCTCACTTTACTTTTAATTTCTTCTTGGTGTCGGCTGCATAAACTGAGATGCCCTCACAACATGGAATACATGGTCACTTCTGCAGTAGGGTTCATAACAATACAACTGGGAAATAGGGAGACATCCACTTGCTCCGGTTGAAGTGCACATGTATTTATGTATGCAAATACTCCGTACTCTGGAGCCATGGAGCAAAATCTGCATGTGTGTGATGGTGTGGATGCATCATTGTTGTCATGTGTGGATTCAAAAGAATCTGCTGAAGTTGTTTCAAGATCCCGTGGCCTGGGACAAACAGTGGCTATTGAARCAGGAGAAGGTGTACAGAGTACTCCGTAATGGCCTTGGGGAATTTAAGTCGGGCGATACAAGCTCATTATGCTTGTTCCTGTTGAGAGGGGGTCACTTTCCAGCCACCCGTGCCTGGCGAAGCTGTCCAGCAAACTTTAAAGAGGTTCAGGACGGGCCAAATTGCCGAGTTTGGTCTCACCGCCTTATTACCTCATCACAGAAGAGTCAAGCTCCTGATTGGACAGTCGCAGCCATGTGGGGCCGACTTTCCGGCGTGACGCTGGGAGCTAAAAGACGCCTCAAAGACTGGGCCGTGCTAGGCTGGATGCGGAAAAGCTCAGCCGGCAGAAAAGATTGACCTCCTTACCTCAGTTCACGTCACCGTTTGCGCTGTCTAACGTAACGCCTTGTCTCCGAGATTTTTACCTCCTCTCTACCACTTCTTTCTCTTCAAGAGAGTGCTATCCTTATCGCAAGTGTCTTGTCTTCCTGGCGTCTGCCATGTAATTTTAATCTTCGCTTCGTCTGTTTGGCAAAACGCTTTCTTCTTGAGAGACGGCAATTAGACACCATACCGTATTCTCCTCTCACTCCGCTGGACCACCGGTTGCCTGCCTGTCGCTTCTGTAAACTCAGCGAGACATCTTTCTATCGTCATGAATCCGTCCAACAAAGATGGATGGCATTCAGGGGCTAGCGGTCCGCAGCCGCATCCTGCAGTAGAACAGCTCGGGCAGCAGTCGAACAGGCCTCTCGGCTATGGGTACCGTTCCCACCCCTCGTCCGGGACTTCAAACGTTGCGCTAACATTCTTTGATCAAATAGTGAGAATCTTCTTCTTCTTTGCGATGTTGCATAGCTTCATCTGTGGAGATTTCCATTTGCCGCTTTCACTGCTGGCTTGTTCAAAATGCATGCCGTGGCATTGCTTCACTCTTCACTAATTCTTCTCAACGAATAGGCCCCTATCATGCAGTTAGCCAGCCTTCTAGCCACACACTTCCCACTCTAGCAGACCTGACGCAAGGTGCCAATGTACCACCTCCATCACATCAGCAGCCGCCAAGATACGCGCAACATCAACAACCATCCCTGGGGGGTTCACATTCCCTTCCCGGCATTAGTCAATCGATCCAGCATTCCTCACCGCAGTCATCTATCAACCGAGATAGAGAGAGAGAATCTCGGGACAGGGACAGGGACATTCTCGAGAGACAGCGCGAAATGCAGCGAGAGGAGGAGATGATGCAACGGGAGCGTGAGATTCGCGAAAGGGACCGCGAGCATGCAGAGCGGTACCATCGCGAACAGCAGCAACAACAGCAACAGCAGCAACATCATCCCGTTCAAAGCCACACTGGCTCCATTCCAATACATCAGCCTGTCGCCTCCAAAGTTCAAAATTCGATCCATGGTCCTAACGGATTGCTTTCGAATCTTGGTGCGACCACTGGCCCAAATGCACCCCAGAATGCTCTTCAGGGTTCTAGCGTCCCAGGAGGTTTGTTCGGCGGCCAGATGCAGCATCCAGATGGACCACCAAGACAATATATGCCCGTCCAATCTCAGTCCCTGTTATTTGGTGGGAATGCGCCCTCGCAGATCCCAGGGAGTGTTGCCGCATTGGCGCAAGGCCAGCAACCTATACTTAATGTAAGTCATCTTAACTACTCCCTGGAGAAGAGATATTTGGGTTCACGTCGCCTTTTTAAATGTGAAAGTGGTATCATTAAGATATAAAGTCTGTTGCTCTTCCTTATATTTTGAAAGAAAATTTTGAAAAATTGTTCACAAAGTTGGCCCGCTGTGGTCCTTCATGGTGACCTTCTCGGCGAGCTTTCCGGAATATGCTATATTTTGCTGCCGACAAATTCCTCAACTGTTGACATGACATTGTTTTGAAAACTCTGCCTTCCAAACATTTACATCTACCCTGAACACATCCTCAAAATTCTTTCTTCATACCAACAAAAAAAAAAAAATTTTTTTTCGTCACACTCTTTGGCACCACAACAGCTTTGTGACGTCGATACTGATGGCGCCGAATCCACAGGACGCTCTCAGCTACCTTGATCAGGTCAAGGTCCGATTCGTCGAGCACCCGGATGTTTACAATCGGTTTCTTGACATCATGAAAGATTTTAAAAGCCAAGCGTGAGTGACCAGCCTACTCTAAGATATATAGCTTTGCTTCTCTAACCAACCTCGCAGCATTGACACCCCTGGAGTTATCCAACGCGTCTCGACTCTTTTCAACGGACATCCCACTCTTATTCAAGGATTCAATACCTTCCTCCCACCCGGGTATAGGATTGAATGTGGGCCAGACGACAATCCGGACGCGATTCGCGTCACCACACCCTCTGGAACGATCTCCATGTCTGCGGGCCGTCCAGCTTTGGAGGCTACCACTGAATCTGGACAAAGTGGGGGTTTAATTCCTCCGAGTCGCACAGAGTATTTTGAGCAATCCCGTCCAGGGTGGCAGCCCGGGCACGAACAGCAACAACAGCAACCTCAGCAGGGCCCAATGCCTGGTGCTGTTGGCTCTTATTCCCCAAGTGGCAGAATGGTTCCACCTCAGTATGGCCAGCAGGGTGCACAGGGTCAGCACCACGAAGGTTCATACGAGTATCAGAGCCAGCATGAGCAGCCTACCCCGGCAACAAATGCTGCTCTGCTCCATCAACAAGAACAGCGCGGAGTGTCTCAGTTGCAGAACGCCGTCTCTGTCGCGACTGGAGGCGCCGGGCGATCGATGATGCAACTTCCTCCCGGTGGCAGCCAGACACCTGGCCCTAATCAACCCGCGACTTCATTGGCAGGAATGGGCTCTGGTGTTCTTCAAGGAACTCAGAACGAGGCTACTCGACGAGGCCCCGTCGAATTTAATCATGCAATCAGCTACGTTAACAAAATCAAGGTGAGTTTCCTTTGCCTCCAAGCTAAAATGATGCGGCCATGTGCTAATGTGGGGTCAAACAGAATCGATTTGCGGACTCTCCTGAGATATACAAGCAGTTCCTCGAGATTTTGCAGACCTATCAAAGGGAATCCAAGCCGATCCAGGATGTGTATGCGCAGGTGACCGTTCTGTTCAACTCTGCCCCGGATCTCTTGGAAGACTTCAAGCAATTTCTTCCCGAATCGGCAGCCCAAGCGAAGGTTCAAGGGCAAGGCCGCCAAGATGAGGTTCCTATTTCTGTGAGCAACGTTCGCGGAGAGCCTGGTTATAGCTCTGCTGCCCTCCAGAGCCAGTCCTCTAGGGACACTGTCAAGATGCCGCCTCTGGGTCAGTTCAGCGTTAAGGATTCGGCAAAGGAAAGCAAGAAGCGGCGCGGTGGTCCTGGTGCGCAAGCTGGTGCGACTTCGATCGGCGCCCCTGGCCCAATGGAAACTTCTGTTGGAGGACCGGCAAGCAAGGTTCAAGCATCCCAAATTGGAAATGTCAACAAGGTAAGACGTCTTGCTAAGTAGGATTTTGCATTGCCTTTTTGATTATTGCTGCATCTTGCCTGTGAATTCAAGAACGCAAGGGTGGATGGATGCTTTACTTTCTGTCATTGAATGGCTTTCTGCCATGAACAGCCGGAAACAGGATGCCAGCTATCTGTTGTTGTTCTAGAAACTACAATTGCCCGTGACTACACTGTTGTTATCCTGTTAATATTTGGTTGGCTTGGTTGGGTGGTTTTATGGCCGGTGCTGTTCAGTTTTTGTTTCCTTTCCTTTCTTTGCAGGTATCTTTCTACGTGTGGCTTCTTTGGCACGTACACCTATTTTTTTTAATGTTTCAGACGCACTTCTTGGCGTCTTCTTCTCGGCGTCTCTTCACGCAGCCTGTCGTTCGTTCGCATTACATGCAAATTTTGGAAGCTGACGGTATTTTACCAGAGAACGAAACTTACGCATAAGCCTGCACCACCTGAGGCTGCGCCTGCGATATCTCCCACGCTTGTGCCTGCACCTCCAGAACCCATCCCACCAACCTTTACACTCTCAGCATCTCAAGAAGAATACGCCTTTTTTGACCGTGTCAAGAAGTTCATTGGCAACAAACAAATATTCAGCGAGTTCCTCAAGCTGTGCAACTTGTATTCTTCAGACTTGATTGACAGGAATGTCCTTGTTAACAAAACAGCAGGGTTTATTGGCTCTAACCAAGAGTTAATGAATTGGTTCAAGCGATTTATGCACATAGAACCAAAAGACGACATCATCGAGCCGAAGGCCAAGGACGAATCTGGAACTGTCAACCTTGCGCATTGTCGAGCCCTTGGGCCTAGTTACCGGCTTCTTCCAAAACTCGAGAGACAGAAGCCCTGCAGCGGCCGTGACGAGCTCTGCCAAAGTGTTCTGAACGATGAGTGGGCATCGCATCCAACATGGGCATCAGAAGATTCTGGTTTCGTTGCACATCGAAAGAACCAGCATGAAGATTCTCTGCACAGGGTCGAGGAAGATCGTCATGATTACGACCACTATATCGAGGCTGGAATTCGAACCATACAGCTCATGGAAGCTTTGTTACAACAAATCTCAATTATGACAGAGTCAGACAGAGCCAATTTTAAATTACCACCAGGACTCGGTGGGCAAAGCGAGACGATTTATAAGAAAGTTATCAAAAAAGTTTACGATAAAGAATACGGCCTTCGCATTATAGATGAGCTATTCGCAAACCCAAGTCAGGTTCTTCCTATCGTCATTGCTCGTCTGAAGCAAAAGGTTGAAGAATGGAAGCTCAGCCAAGTAAGATCAATTATGTATCCTTATCCGAGCAATTTACTAACGTCTCTGAAGCGCGAGTGGGAGAAGGTCTGGCGGGAGCAGATGCAAAAGGGATACTGGCGAAGTCTTGACCATCAGTCTTCTATCAACAAGAAGGACGATAAGAAAACTCTCACGACTAAGCACTTCCAGGCGGAGGTTCAAGCTAAATTTGAAGAAGCAAGAGCCCTTCGCCGAAGCGGATTCCCGGTACTCAGCTACCAATTTAAACATACCTTTGCGGATTCCGAAGTTATCCTCGATACCACCTATTTAATCCTCTGTTACATTGACCATAATTCAGCGGGTTTTGGCGCTGATCCGCAGAAAGTGATGAATTTCGTCAGAGACTTCGTCCCGATATTTTTCGGTATGGATCGAGACGCAGTTAGGACTTATCTAAGCGAGGTTTACGATAGCAGTCCTGCAAGTGAGGAAATGGATCATGACAGTATCCCATCCGACGAGATGAATGGTACTCGCGTTCGCCGTGCGGTCAACAGCAAGAAACTGGACCTCCTCCGCGAAGTGCTTGATAATCGGGTTGACAAGGTCTCGAGGCTAGACGGAGAAAGAAGTACTGCATCGATCAGTCGGTTCTCAACTCCAGGTCTTGGATCCGCAACCGAATCTACCCCAGCTCCCGACTCTAATTGTACTTTTGATTCCGCTGAGTTGCAGTGGATGGACCATCCTAGTCAAGGAAACTTTAATCAGCAGCGTGAATACCCGTTGAATGAACCCTACAAAAAGAAGGTCCATCACCTGTATGGGAATCTCACAATCTACTGCTTCATTCGTACTTTTGAGATGCTATATACTCGTCTGTTGCACTTGAAGGGAGGTGAAGAAGCTGCCCATGAGGAATTGCGTCGTGCGATGGCCCCCAAAGCAGCCTACGACTTGGGAATGATCGACAAGGCGCCCAAGGAATTCTTTTACGATACGGACCCAAAAGCAAATCTTTACCATCAAATGGTTCGCATGTGCGAGGAGCTGGTGAAAGGCCACTTGGACCCGGGCCACATGGAAGACACCTTACGCCGCTTTTACAACAGAAACCGTGGCTGGGAGCTCTATACCCTTGACAAATTGCTCGGCGCTATCGCGAAATTTGCAAGTAATATTTTCAACACCGATCCCAAGGACAAGAGCGCGGACATTGTCAATCTCTTCTTCAAAGAACGCGACAAGGAAGAAACGACGCATAATCATGAAATTCAATATCGCAAGCAGGTGGAGAGATTGATAAAGGATGGAGATATTTATCGTATATCTTATGTGAGTTTCATCCTTCGCTTTTGCATGTTTGTGGTCTCTAATAAGCTAATTTTACTCTGTTCCAGTTCCCGGCCTCGAACGCCGTCACGGTACAACTCTTAACCACCGAAGACAGCACCCTTGAGAGCGATGACCTCACACCCGAGGCGAGATGGTCGTATTATGTCTCTGCATATAGCATGCGTGATCCCACCGAGGGGGTTATATTTTCGGATATGCGCATTCCATTCTTGAAGCGCAATCTCCCTCCCAAGCTGGACTCGGATGAAGAGTACAACCAATTTTACAAGCCCTTGATCAGTCACGAGGGATTGGTCATTCGGGTCTGTGCAAACAGCTATCATATCCTCTACGAACCGGGTACGGAAGAATGGTGGTGCCGTCTTACCCAGTCGAACGATGCTGAGCAAGAAGCTTCGCAGAAACTTGCTGCAGTCAAGGAGAAGCGCAGAAACCGCTTCGAAGAGAAGTTTGTGAATAACTCGCGGTGGACGGATGGCCTTAGCAAGGTTGAAGTTGACGAATTCAATCAGCGGTTTAGATCCTGGATTAAAGCTCAAGACCAGGATGCCCCGAATGTAGAGAAAAGTCAAACTAGAACCTCTGATGATCATCGCGAGAAAGAGGACGAGGTAATGACTGATGCTGATTGATCTTTCGAAGTTTCCARGAAAAAAAAAAAAAAAAAAAAAGGCGAAAGGGAGCTCTTGTTGATGCCAGTCTTAGGACACACAGAGTATCCTTTACCATTAGGGCCATACCCACCCATTGATGCATTCACATCCATGACTTTCGGCTTTTGGCGACTGGGAACTGGGGATGGTTGGGAAGATTGAAGGGACCGGCTTGGCTCCTCGGTTATATTTCTTAAAATGGTTTGTTTGTTCGACGACTGTGTGGTTTGTGTTGAATGCTTTCTGCATTGCTTTTGCGTGATGATCTCTTTTCTCCTTTCAACTTCCGGTTATCACAGTTGAACTTCAGCCCCGAATTTGTGTAACTACCGTACTGTACTATCAGCTAGGAAATTCGTCATTGCTTCACTGAACCTACGCCAGTCTAATTAACCAACCACATCGCTCCCATTCCACTCCCGACGGCCACAACTCTCTGTAACCCCTTGTTGACTCGGGTCGCACCGAGGTCGTGATGCTGACTAAGAAAATGGCTTCCACTCATCCGTAGTCCGCTTCGGCTATCAACCGCAATATCAACAGTGGTGCGACGATTTTTAGCAAATCCGTCAACCGAAAATGGAAGCAGTTGCAGATATAGAGCTAACTGTAGCGAGCATATCGCCGACCATTCCAGTGGGCCCCTTTAGAAATCGTCTATTTGCCGCGCTTAAAGTCATAGGGGCCGAAAATCCGCCGATTTCAATGTCTGGGTCTGTTACGTCAGAGGGCAACTATAAAACCCAAAAAAAAAAAGGCCCAGATGGGGGTTGAAGAGTGATATTCTACTTTGCGGCTTTGAGATTTTCTTTCCCTTTTTTTTTTTTCCTTTTTTTCTCAATTCCTTCACTTTTGCTTTTCCTTTCTACCTTCTTCTCCAAGTCACCTTTCTTTTTCTTTGGTGGGTTGGTCTGCCCCTTGTGATTGTTGTTGGCTGAGACGTTACTTTCCGGCTTATATGACATTGGCCTGATTCACTTGGTTTAGCTTGAAGGAAAAAAAAAATCATATTTCTTGCGGAAGGGGGCTGACCTAGACCTTTCTCTGTTGGGGCAGTAAAACAACAGTATAAAAATCACTGTGTTTTCTTTTGACCAGCACGAGTTGATCCCACCATAGAAAAAAGCACTATCTTGGAAATATCTGCAGTCAGGTCACGAAGATGGCGGCTTCTGCAATTTTGAAAAGCCGTATCAGGCGGCCGTCGATGCTCTCGAAGCTAGCGAAAGCTGAGGATCTGATCGATCTATTCCCCAATGGCTCTTATATCGGTTGGTCTGGGTTCACGGGTGTCGGCTACCCAAAGTGAGTCTGCTCATCTTATGGGATCCATCGTTTTGGTTGGCGGATGTGAAAGGGATTTCTAACGCGTTGTGTTTGCAGGATGGTCCCAACTGCATTGGCTGACCATGTCGAGAAGAACAATTTGCAAGGAAAGCTGAAATATACCCTTTTTGTTGGCGCCTCGTCGGGCGCGGAGACAGAGAACAGATGGGCGCGGCTCAACATGATTGATAGACGATCACCTCATCAGGTTGGAAAGGACATCGCAAAGGGAATCAACAATGGAAATATCAATTTCTTCGACAAGCATCTCAGCATGTTCCCTGCAGACTTGGTATATGTATGAATCCCAACGGAATCCATGTTGCGCCCGCCCATTTGGAGGAGTGATTGTGTTAATCGGTATATCCTCAATGTTAATATAGGGCTGGTATACACGGAACAGACCAAAGAACAGACTCGATGTTGCGGTCATCGAAGCGTCTGCCATCACCGAAGAGGGTGGAATTATTCCTGGAGCTTCAGTCGGCGCATCTCCAGAGATAGTTCAAATGGCAGACAAAATCATCATCGAAGTCAACACAGCCGCTCCCTCATTTGAAGGATTGCACGACATCACAATGTGCGATATCCCCCCTCGACGGAAACCGTACCTCATCATGGCTCCAGAAGATCGTATTGGAACCCACCACATTCCAATCGACCCGGAGAGAGTCGTCGCCGTTGTCGAATCCACCTATCCCGATCAGACCCAACCCAACGCACCCGCAGACGAGGCGTCGCGCGCTATTGCTAGCAATCTGATCGAGTTCCTCCAGCATGAGGTCAAGATGGGCCGCTTGCCAAAGAGCCTTCTCCCAATCCAGTCCGGCATTGGCAACATCGCCAACGCGGTCATCGGTGGGCTCGCGGAGGGCGGCGCCAACTTCCACAACCTCAAGGTCTGGACTGAGGTTTTGCAAGACTCTTTCCTCGATCTCTTCGACAGCGGCAATCTCGATTTCGCTACGGCCACCTCCATCCGTTTCTCTCCGGAGGGATTCAAGCGATTCTATGACGGATGGGAGAACTACTACGACAAGCTCCTCCTCCGTTCGCAGCAGGTCTCGAACTCCCCCGAGATCATTCGCCGCCTCGGTGTCATCGGCATGAACACACCCGTCGAAGTCGACATTTACGCCCATGCCAACAGTACCTGTGTGATGGGCTCCCGCATGCTGAACGGCCTGGGCGGTTCTGCCGACTTCTTGCGCAGCGCCAAATACAGCATCATGCACACACCCAGCACACGTCCCAGCAAGACCGATCCCACAGGTATCACCTGCATTGTCCCATTCTGCACACATATCGATCAGACCGAGCACGACCTGGACGTCGTCGTCACCGAACAGGTATGCCTATCAACAGTGATCTCATTCCCCCCCCCCTGTTTCTCCAGTGATTCTTCCAAGGAAAAGAAAAAGGAGTTGCTAACATCCTCTTTTCCCAGGGTCTTGCCGACGTCCGAGGCCTTGCGCCACGTGAACGTGCCCGCGTTATCATCGACAAATGCGCGCATCCCGACTACAAGCCCATCCTGCAGGATTACTTCGACCGGGCCGAGTCATACTGTCTCCGCAAGGGCATGGGCCACGAGCCGCACCTGTTGTTCCAGGCGTTCAAGATGCACCAGAACCTCCAGGAGAAGGGGACCATGAAGATCGATGGATGGGAGTAGATGGATGATAGACCTTTGTTTGGTGTTTTCTTCGGGAAACACTTTTGACGGTAGTTGGCTGGAATGGGCTTGAGCGAGATTTTTCTTTTCTTTTCTTTTCTTGCTTTTTCGATCTTACTTTGTTTCATGTGCAATCCATGGTCCCAACATCATCTCTTTTTCTTTGGAGTCAAGGTAGCTTTTTACAGATAAGACTGTTTTTTTTTTGACAATAAACTCCGGCATTGGATGTATTTACTTTTGATGAACTGGGCTGCTTTCAACCATCGAGGTGCCGGTTGAAACAGCCGTGCTTGCAGTGAATTCCTTTCAGGGCATTCCGGAGTCAAAAGACGGAGCAGAAGCCGCCGTCCTCCGCAGGAGTCGAACAAACCGGTGATGGCGCTCGCGCTCTCAGGCCTTTTTTGTTCTTCGCACGGCGCGACGTCCGAGTGCTCCCCATCAAGCTTTTAACTTAGTTTGACGCCCAATCGATTCAGCCAGCGACATTTTGATCGGCCAGTCCGCGAGCTGCTATTTCCCACCTGTCAGTCTGAGAAACAGGGGGCGGCCGGCAGACTCCAGCGCGAAAACCAGAGCAGCAAGACGAATCAACTCAAGCTGCATTTCCCAGCGCGAACGGAGTGGGCAGGCAAAGCCAATAGTGGCAGTTCTAGACCGTGGGCGACGCAAATATCCAAGCAGCGCCGATCGACTCCCACGCCATTCCCCAACGCGCAGTGATCGCCCAGCGTCGATGCTCTCGACTCTGGCAAATCCGCGGACTTTGCGATGTCCAGAACTCAGGGCGGTCTGCGTAATACCGATACACAGCCGGAATACCGCCCGAAGTGGACTGTGAGGAAATTATGTACAACGATCGGCGGTCTGAAAGTCGAGCAGGAATTGGACTGAACAACACCACTGGATCAGGACGATGAAGCCTCCTCCTCACACTTGGTCGAGGCTGTCGCTTCTCTCACCACCACCTCGTCGCAGCAAGTCAACGGCAGCATTCGACAAGACCCGCGTCAATCAAACCCTCTCGCTCCGCGACGGGCGCACCCTCGGATACGCAGAGTACGGCTGCCCATCGGGCTTCCCGCTCCTCTTCTTCCATGGCTTCCCTTCCTCGCGCCTCGAGGGCTGGGCCCTCAGTCACGTCGCCCACCGCCGCAACCTCCGCATAATCACGCCCGACCGCCCCGGATTCGGCCTCTCCACGTTCTACCCCGGCCGCCGCATCACCGACTGGCCCGCTGACGTCCACGCCCTGACGCAGCATCTGCGCCTCTCGCGCTTCGCCGTCCTGGGCGGCTCCGGTGGGAGTCCGTATGCGTTGGCGTGCGCGCACGCGCTGCCGCGTGAGTCGTTGGCCGCGGTCGGGCTTTTGGCAGGAGCACCGCCGTGGATAGCGGGCACGCAGGGTGTGTCCCTGTCGCGGCGGATAGCATCTTCGGCGGCGACGCACTGGCCGTCGGGTCTGTTGGCGTTGACGGATATGCTAGTCGGCATGCTCAGATGGATGGTGACTACTGGTCCCGTCAAAAGAGCACTGGATACCTGGCTACAGCAGCAGAATGCCAAGACCGACGGCGCTGAGGCAGGAAGCTCGTCGACCGAGGAGGACAGAGAGCGGGTTCTACAGCTTGGATTTGAAGCGTTTGCCCAGGGTGCTGGAGGGTTCGTGCAGGAGACGCGGCTGTTGACGCATGATTGGGGATTTCGGTTTGAAGACGTAAGATATGACAAGATTCAGATCTGGCATGGTGCGAAGGATGCCAATTCGCCGGTGCGGATGACGAGATATATGGCGGAGCGGCTGCCTCACTGTGTGCTACGCGAGTTCGATGGTGATGATCACTACACTATGGTTCGTCATCTGGAGCAGATCGTATCGGAGTTTGTTCCAGAAGAGATGACGAGCGAATATAACGGCAAGACATCATGATGCTTTCTTTTTTTTTTTTTGTCGAGCTTGGTCGGAGTGGACTGAGCGTTGTACAGTACAGCTTCTATAGAGTCCGTTCATAGAACATAACATCTCCCATTCATTCGATATCACAGCTAGTATAGATATTCTACCGTTTCAAGCTCAGTTCTCTACATTCATACTCAGCGAGTTCACATGATATTGACGGCAAGGTCATTTCGGGCAACCCGATATGGATGCTGTACTTTGTTCTGGCTCCATCTCACATGAAATTTGCTCAGCAACCCACCTGCACAACCAAAAGGCATCGTCAAGACGTCCATCCGGCACCCTAATTTCCGGACAGTGACAACGCTGGCGGTCTGGACCAGTGCTGGGCGGGTTCGCCCCTCTACGACAATGGAGAGCTTCTCCAGATAATTTAAATTTTGACACGCCTGAGGGTTTTCAGGAGGTCGCATTGGAGGTTCTTGGTAAAGTTTGGCGGCCGTTCGTCGCAGGGGGTTTGTTTTGGAACGGCTTGACAGCGGTGTGTGTGTGTCGTTCCTTGACGACCTCAGGAAAGGGAGGGCCTGATCTCCACGCATCGCACCGCATCGCATCACATCACATCGATGGCGCTCGATAGCGAGAGAATAGCGCAAACCGACTATGTACGTGGTGGAGGCTCACGGCGATCTGCAGCGGCCGACATTTGCGGCTCAGCGACATTCAAAACAAACAAACAGGGTGTACTGTATGGATGTATGTATCGAGCATTACTGAAATACGCAGTTGGTACAGGCCAGGGGTATTACACTGACACACAATACTGCGCCCCGTACTCAGTCTTACGGTCCTCAGCGCTGATGGGGCATTTGCGTCCCGAGAGCCCTTCCAAGAGTCACCACACACGACATTATTTCGTTAAGCGAGAGTGAACCACTTGACAGCTCAGCGCTGCAGCAGGAGAACAAGGAGCAAAACACAAAGAGGCGGACCCTGATACCCAAAGAAGCGGTAGAAAGTCCGGCCCGATCGAACATCACAATTGGCTACGGTATGTACTCCGTCCACAGGGGGTGACACAGGCAGATATCAACAATGGCAACGCCCATCGTCTCCCATGTGCTTCGTATCCCAGGCGCCGATACGTTAAAGCGGTTTTCCGTCCAATTGATAGGGCCCTCGTGCTCTGTTCTCAACGCCGTGGGCTCGTGGTCAAGGATATAGCTGAGAAACGTCAACTTGATACCTGCTAGCCAGATGGTGGAAGTTTAAAACAACGATTTGTCTCCTTTCCCGCTCTTCATTGGAAGGATATTGCATGCTTGCTGTGAAACTCCCAAGAACTGGTCATGCGACTTTCAAAGCAACGCTGGCCGACTAGTTACGGAGTACAGGTCTCAGGACATAACTTTTGCAGCACAAACAAAAAGGAGCGCGGATCTTCTCTCGCTCATCGAAAGAGCTGTCCCAGAAGTTGTCCCAGCGACTCTCCGGGAAGTGTCATGATGGAAATCAAGATGTACCCGCTGGGGACAGACATATCGGGGACTTGCCGGTCATTGAACCAGCAAAGGACCTTGCGGGTTCACCCAAGTATCTCCTCTCACCCGAGCCATGTGGGTTATTCAGCTCATTTGTGCTGAGATGGCAGACACATTGTCGTCAAATTCATCACCAATCCAATCTTCTATTTGCCCATGACTGCAGAGGATTTTTGGGCTCAGATACGGTGGCATGAACAGAAGTGTACTTTGTAATAATGAAGCGAAGTTCTGTGTGCTCGCGCGCAAGAACGTGTCCCTAATATCATATACGGCGGTTGATACCGCGGCCAATGTTTTCAAAATACATACCTTCTCTGCCCATCGACATACACAGAGTAGCTTTCTCCTATCTTCAGCCACGGAGCATGATTTTTTCCTTTTTTTTTTTTTTTTTTTTTTGTTTGACCTGGATTCAGCCGACCAAATGCAGCTCTGTCCCCCGATCTTATAATTTCATCCAGATATACTGATCACACCGAGAAAAACTAGGTGGTTTTCGGATTGACAGTCCAACATATGTATAACTATATGTCCGGAGGCTACGGGATCCGATCTTGTTTCAGTTGGTTGCCATAACTAGCTTAGCCACGACACCACACGCGCTGATGTCAGGCATTGCTAAAACGAATCGCAGCATGCATGCCTCTCTCTCTTCTCTTCCCTCTGTTAGTTATTGACTCTGGAGTCTGTCGGCTCGCGTGCTCGTCTCTTTTTAAATTAAATTTCCTTGCACAAAAAGTCAAAGTATGTATGTTTTACAAGTGAACCCTGTCTCCATGCGGGAGCACTCGGATATCTCAGCCTTACTGCATGTCGCATCAGTTGTTCCGGCAAAGTGACAGAGTTCGAAACTGGGTGATATCCTTCCATTTCCATTACTATTTTAAAACGTGGAGGTCATCCTGGGAAGTGTTTTTTTTGTGTGAGATGACATGGTCACCGTCAAAATCCTCAGGGCAGTTCACTATCTCGGCGCCAGGACAGACCACGGGTTCCCAACGAGTTGATTGGTGGTTAGTGGGAAATGACGCATGAAAAAGAATTTTTCCGCTGAAGCAAGTTTGGTTGTCCCAAATATATGTCCAGTAACGTGCAATGCAGGGGAAGGGGGAAATCAAGAAAAAAAAAAAATTAAAATAGAATATGAAAATAAGGAGCGGTTGGGCTTGCGGTTGGTGCAGCGTGGCGGAGGCAGTCTGGATAGCGGTACTTGGGTGCGGAAAGTACCGCAAGCCAAGACCAGAGGGAGAGCCGAGTCGAAGAAGCAGACAATGCAGCGGAGTATTTCTCACAACACCTCTCGAAGTCACTCAAGTCAGTTCCTGCATGCAGAGTATACTCCATCGATGTGTATCTCTCTCTCTCCCCACATCGTTCCAATCGAAGTCAAGCCAGGATGTTTCAGGCCCCGGTAAGCAGGCGGTATTGGGCGGGTTGTGCCTGGCAGGGATACGGTACCGGTACACGCCCACCCCTGAAACACGGCGAGCTGGGAGTGGGGCAGCCCGTAAGATTGAGGTGCGGCAGGGGCGTTTGATTGGCCGGTTCCTGGGCTGGTTGTCGCCCGGTGCTGACAGCTGACAAAAATTAATTACAACGAGATCCAGAGAGAGAGAGAGTAAACACACAATAATAGAAAAATAAAGAGAGAAAAATAATAAAGAATAAAAAAAAAAAAAATTGAAAGAAAATTAAAAAAAAAAAAAATATGAAATGTATCTATCTGTTTCATCACCTGCAACTTTTTTTGCATCTCGGACTGCGAGTCGGTTGGATGGAGACTTGATTGACGGGCCGCCCAACGTTTCCAGGAGAAATCCTTCCGGGGGGCGCAAAAGCAACAAAAACCAGCTGGCTCCAGTCAGGATTGTATGTCTGTATGTCTGTATGTATGTAACTAATGTCACAGAAACGCCCGCTGGTTACCGCCTAACCCAGAGCAGCAGTGCGGCGCCCGCCACAGCCCAATCAGCGCGGGTGCCGGCGGGGTGTTCCTGGTACTGTGACCGTCACGCCGTCTGTTCTCTTCCCGTTCCGCTGCACTAACCCAAAGCAAACAGCCCCCTTTGCCCCCTTCTCTTCTTTCTCTTTCTCTTCTTCCCTCTTCGCTCTCTTCTTCTTCTTCTTCTTCTTCTTCTTCTTCTTCATCCTCCCCTCTCCCCAGGGCTCACGATCCCCATCTTCCATCCCCTCCCTTCCATTCTCTCAGTCTGTTATCACTGACCACCGCTTCACTCTTTCAGCGGGCATTCTTTGCTAGGACGGTTTTCACCACCATCCCAATTGTTTACGGAAGATCATCTACCCTCCCCTCCCCCCCAAGAAGGGCCCTTATTGTACCCAATTTGCTGTCGAGTTATCTAGTTCGTCGCGCGTGCTGGGATAGCTCTCGAGAGGAGAGATGAAGGGCGTTGCTTTGTTGACCGCTGCGGCGGGTCTCGTGGGTTCTGCCTTGGCTGGCGGAGCCCGTCACCATCGCCATGGCCATGCCGTCCTCCACCGCCGCAACCCTCAGACCTGCGGCTGCACTGTCAGGACCATCACCATGACCGGAGAGCCAACCTGTAAGTTGTTTGTAAAACATTCTGTTTTGAGCATGTTTTCGGAACAATGCCAAAAAGAAAACAACCAGAAACAACAACAAGCGCCATTCTGGATGTGTTCCGACTAACATGAGACAATAGTGGTTCCGGAACCCGTCACTGAGAAGACCACCACCATCCGCTCCACCAGCTACACCACCGTGACCGTGTCCGTCACTCCTACCGAGGCAGTCCAGACTCCCACCGAGGCGCTCCCAACTCCCATTGTCACCGTCTACCCAACCCCTGGCACCTACACCGTTGAGCCAACCACCATCATCGTGACCAAGGAGACCACCGTCTGCGCCGCCACGACCACCGGTCTCTCGCCAGGCGAACACACCTATGGAGGCGTCACCACCGTTGTTGACTCGCCAACCACTCTCACCGTGCCGATCGCCACCGTCAAGCCCGAGGGAAGCACCTTCACCAGCGTCATCGAGAAGACCACCTATGTCTGCCCAACTGAGGGAACCTACACCATCGCCCCCTCTACCACCTCCGTCTCCAAGAGCACCGTCATCGTGTACCCAACTCCGGCCATCATCACTTCTGGAACTTACACCCAGCCTGGAGCCACCGTCACCGTCACCGAGACCGACTATGTCTATGTCTGCCCCACCCCAACCGGCATCGAACTCCCAAAGGTCGACCCTCCCAAGGTTGAGATCCCCGATGTTGAGCCACCCAAGGCTGAACCACCCAAGACCGAGCAGCCAACACCACCAAAGCAGGACAAGCCTGAGCCGCCAAAGACACCTCAGATCGGTGGTGGTGAGAAATGGGGCATGACCTACTCTCCTTACACCGACGACGGCCAGTGCAAGGGTGCCGGTGACGTCAAGGCTGACATTGCCATCATCAAGCAAAAGGGTTTCAAGACCGTCCGCGTCTACTCCTCTGACTGTGACGGCCTCAAGAACATCGGCAACGCTTGCAAGGAGTACGGTCTCAGAATGATCATCGGTGTCTTCATCTCCAACACCGGCATCGAGGGCGCCCAGAAGCAGGTCACCGATATCGTCGAGTGGGGCCAGTGGAACATAGTTGACCTCGTCGTCGTCGGCAACGAAGCCATCTTCCAGGGCCACGCTGATGCCACCTCCCTTGCTTCTTTCATCGGTTCCTGCAAGGCCACCTTCAAGAAGGCTGGCTACAACGGCCCAGTCACCACCACTGAGCCCCTCAACATCTGGCAGGCCAATGCTTCCAAGCTTTGCGGTGTCATCGACATTCTCGGCGCCAATATCCACCCGTTCTTCAACTCCGATGTCTCCCCCGCTGATGCTGGTAAATTCGTCAAGGGCCAAATGGACATCCTCCACGGCCTCTGCAACAAGAAGGTCATCAACCTCGAGACTGGCTGGCCCAACGGTGGTGGTAACAACGGAAAGGCCATCTCTGGTCAGTCAGAGCAGGTTACCGCCATCAAATCCATCGTCAAGGCTGTTGGCAGCGACTCTGTCTTCTTCTCCTTCCGTGATGACCGCTGGAAGGAACCCGGCCCACTCGGTGTCGAGCAAAACTGGGGCTGCATTAACGTTTTCGGCTGAAGCGTCTAATTCGATCAGAGTAATTGTGAATGTCTTTGTCTCCTTTTGATTCCCTTTTCCGCCTTGCGTTCCCTTTTTTTCTTTTTTTTTTTTTTTTCCTGCGTGGGGATTAACATCGGAATAAGCGGAGTTGTAAATGTTCTACTTTTTTTTTCCTTTTCCAAAGTATACCATGGTCTGATTGGGAGAGAGGAGAATAAGTGATGGGAAGAAAAAGAAGAAAAAACCAACATATTCCCGGCTTTCTTGTCTTGTCAGACAAGAACAAACAGACTTTCTGGTCTTGCCTCTCCAGGAGTATTTTTTTTTTTTTTTTTTTTTTTCAAAAACTTTCTAGAAATTCCTTTTTCCTCTCCCTTGCTTTTTCCACCTCCATGTGTGAATGTACATCCCTGGAACTTTTACGAACTAAAGTAAATAAGAACCCGTTCCCTCCCACTGGATAATTTGACCATCATAAAATATCCGCAGCACACGAGCCTGCGGCCAGCTCTCCCGGTGTTGAATTCCCTCCCCCCGCCTTCCATAGAATTCGGCCTATGTCCTTCTAGTGTCTGTCTTACATATTATGCTCCATTCTGTCTCTTTTTCTTTTTTTTTCCGCGCTGTCGGTATGAGATGTAAAAGAAGTCTATGATATCAACCTGCTCACTCCCCAAATCTCCACCCCGTAGTTCATTATTTCATTTCCATACCAGCGCCAACCGCCGATGCAGCATAAAAGCTGCAGTCACTGCAACCAACGCCAGCACCACCTTTCCCAACTCTGGAATGTCAGGTAGCAGCGCGCTCCCGGAACGCGCAGAAGACTCCAACCAGAAGTCCTCCTTCTCATCCTCTTGTCGCTCCTCGTATCCGACGGGTTCAAGGCCAAGGTCCTCATTGTAAGCCTCGAGCTGCATTATCTTAAGCTCCACAACGCTCTCCAGGCCTTCGTACAGACCTCCCTGGCTCGCTGTCCGCGCGACCCTCTCCGTCTTCGACGACGATCCGAAGACATAGTTATCCAGCACGGTCCAGTAGATGGAGTCAAGGCTGAAGGGGTTGCGTATGGCGATGTTGAACCAGAACGTCTGCTCATCCATCGAGGCGCGCATGCGCGTAGAGAGGGATTCGCGGTTTCCAACGGGCATGTTCCGCTGGCGCTCTAGCTTCTCGATGGATTCGATGAATAGGTCGAGCTTGGGGAGGTAGGTTTTTAGAAATGAAGATAGCCCGTGGTCGTCGGCCCAGTCGCAGGGGTTCTTCAGCAGCAGCCATTCCGGAGCGCTTCCTAGAAACTGGGGAGGAGCCGCGTATGTGAACTCCCAGTCGATTATCCCGGTGATTTTGAGGGTTTCTGGGTCGACGAAGATGTTGCGGGGGTGAAAACCGTCGCAAAATAGCTTGAATGGCCCGTTGATATCTATGTCGTAGGTGAAGTACGGAACCGTAGAATGGAAGAGAGTGCGGCAGACATATTTCTCGCGGCAGTCTCGAGAATTATAAACAGCGTTCCGCTGCCGCATAAGATGGGTGACGTATTGGCCTGCTGTGTTTGAGAAGAAATCGAGCGCCGACTTGAAAGAATCAGTGTAGAGATCATCTGCGAGGACCCTGCCATATACCATCATGTCATTGATGCATGTCGTAAAAGCCGGCGTAAGGGTATCAAATTCCTCCGTGTCCATGTCCCAGCTTACGGTACCGATTCTATCAAAGTTTACCGCCCATAGCTGAAGAATGACTTCTGCAATCTCGTCGTAGAGCTTTCGAAGGAGCTGTTTGTCGACATTAGGATCTAGGATGGTCTCGTACATATCTTCCCCCACGGGCACCCGTTTCCCTATCAAGTCCGACATCCTCGTCCCTTCTAACCAGGTCATGATTATAAACGCGCCCAACCCCGTCGGATTCTCCGACGCACGCCCGTACGCGATGACCTTCGGAACCGGGATCTCGGTCTTCTCCGCGAGCAGCTTCAGCGTATCGACTTCGGCCACGACCTTCCCTTCGGACAGGTTGCACCTTGTCGGGATACAGAAGCGGATGAGCCAGTCCTCGCGGCCGTCCTCCCAGTGCAGACGGACGCCGACGTTGTTGGACCCCCAGTGCTGTGAGATAAGGAGACATCCTGGCTCGCCCCTGTGCTCATCAGCCAACGAGCGAATGTTGGTTCTGCAGGTGTTCAGGAGTTTCGTCCATTCCTCTACCAGATCCTCCCGCTCCCGGTCAAGGGAGTGGTCGAACTCCATTGCTTAATCTCTTGACTGGCGCCTTAGTATAACGGGAACAAAACAGAAAAACGACGCTTTCCTGGTTATGTGGATATGGATATTGTTGGAGGAAAAGGAGAATATTGCTCTCAGAGGAACCCCTGCGGTAGCAACATTGATTGAGAGGCCACAACATGACAGCTGCGATCCGGGTGGAAGTAGCTTGTAACCATGGCAGTTCAAACCAGGTCCTTCATGGTTGCAGCTTCTTTCGTTGGCCTTCCGTAGAGTATTCCAGGGAAGATGCCTTCTCTCAGTTGGAAAAAGGAGGATAGGGGCAGCTAGGGTTCACTGCGTTGTCGCGGCAATGGGTAGTTATTTCTCACAGTAGCCATGGCAGCGTGGTGTCCAGCTTGGCTGCAGCAGGGTATGTCAAACACACTGTTCTCATGGCGTTCATATCCTCTCTGCGAATCCAGGGTATCCAGGAAGGCACATGGAGCTTAGCTGCCGATGGATTATGCCCATGACAAGAGCAACCACAGCCTTTTCAGACAAAAGCTACATTCTCCCCTGAAAAAGTGAGGATCGTGCCCAAGAAGAGAGAAGGAGGACAGGATCGCTCCATGGTTGGTCATTCCCATGATATTTCAGAAATTCATGAATTCAAACGTCAGACATCACATATGTTGCCTACGGCTCCCCTAAGCCGATTCGATACGTAAAAAAACACAGAGCAGAAGAAAAATAGCTGTAGCTCCCTCGCTTCAGAGGAACTTCTTCGCCAAGCCGAGCAGTCCAGAACCGCCTGACTGTCCGCCGCCGCTGACGCCGCTGGCCAGGCCTCCCAGTCCTCCAAGGCCTCCAAGGGCGCCTCCTCCGCCACCAGCTTGGTTCTTCAGGTACATCTTCAGCGCCATTTTGGCGGCTGAGTTGATGACGGACTGCTTATCGGTAGCCTAGAAAACACACCACGTAGTTAGCCCCTCTATCCCCAATTAATCAATTAATCACTTCCCTCCAGAAAAAGAAAGAAAAAAAAAAAAAGGAGAAAAAGAAGGAACTCCAAAGAGAACCATCAAACTCATACCACGTTCCCCTGCTGATTCTGCTGATCCCACAGCTTTCCAGCCTGAGCCATCGCCAGCCCAATCAACTTATTCTGATCATGACCACCGGTCTGCGACTGCTGTCCTTCGCCGCTGGTAAACATCTTCAACGCCTGCAGCGCTGCGCCATTGCCCAAGAAATCCGCATCATGCTTCCTCTCAGCCTGCTGCTGCTGCTGCTGCTGCTGTCCTCCACCATACAGCGCCTGATGAGCACCCACCACCTGCTGCTCGTCAATATCCTCCTGGCCAAACCGATCCTTGTGCTCGCTGATGAAGCTTAGAGCTTTCTTGAAGAATCCGGACTCCTCGTCATCCTCGTCGTCGTCCTCGCGCCCGGAGTTGTGGTATTTGGCCTGCTTGACGGCGTTGCTGAAGGCTGGGTCGTAGTTGTAGCCGCCGGACCCGCCCTGGTACTGCGATTGCTGCTGGTATGGCTGGGACTGGGAGGAGAAGTCTGCGCGGGGATCGTAGTAGTTTGCACCGCTAGAGCCGCCGCCACCGTACTCGGCGGGGTTGGGTGGACGGGAGTAGTTGGACATTTGGTTTCTGTGCTAACTGTGTAGCTGGCGGGGTGGAATGGGGTTCACTGGTGAGATGCGGGTGATCTGGATGATGGAGCGATGCCGGTTCTTTTACCTCTGGTGTTGACGCTTTATATGGAGCATCGGCGGACGCCGTGAGTTGTGGCTGCAGCTGAGGAGCGGGGGCGACCGAGGGGCATTCATCATCGCCAAGCTGCGTCATAGCGAGGGGCAGCCGAAAAACCCGCTGCTGCACGGTCAACGCCAGAGAGACACAGAGAGAGAGAGAGAGAGATATACTCCGACAGGAACTGCATTTGCCCTCCGGTATTCTAACATCTAGTTAATCTAACATGTTCCCACAGTGATCGTGATTCGCCCTTTTTTTTTTTTTTTTCCTTCTGCGCCAAACTCCAAGATGAATTGAAAAAGCTGTTAAAAACAGGAAGAAGCATTGAAAAGAAATAGTACTATAACACGCAGCAGCTATCTGTCCGTCTGTCCGCCCGTCCAAGGGGCGGAATGAGAGCGGAGACGAGCAGCTCATGTCCCTCAAATCCCATTGCTATCTCGCCAAAGTTGACACTGTGGATCCTGTTCAGACTCGACTGCATGTCACCGACTTAAATGCTCCCTCCAACCGACCGAATGCGTAGAGAGTCCTCCGTCCGTCAACCATAACCCGCCAAGCAGCGCTAGAAATGCAACAAAGCAAAGGCAATGCCATAGAGATATAAAACAGGAAAAAAAAACTGACAAGCGGTCGTACATCGATTCAGAGAAGAAAAAAGAGAGTAGAGCAAATGCAAAACAAGACAGCAGACAGAAAACAACAAGTCAGCAGGCTCAAGAAATATGTAAGAACACACAAAAACAAAGACCGACTTTGCCAGACTCAAAATCATGAAGAGAAACAAAAAAGAAAAAAAAAAAGGAAAATTCAAGGAGGGCAGTGCAGTTCCAACCCCAACACAAGAGTCTCCAAGTCCAGGCCATTTTCACAATAAATCAAAAAATGGCTGAGAATCAAGCATCTTCTCTCCAACATGCGACGAAAGCTGTCAGGTTACCGCTTAACTAAAAACAGCGGAGGCTAAAATCGCAGATTGTGGAACAGACGCATAGAAGTTGAGAAGAGGACTTTTTGGGCTGCTTTACAGCTCAGCATACTCCAAACGCCAATTTCATTTTCCATGGATGTTGTGCCCAAAGGAAAAAGGTAAAGAAAATAAAATTGAAAGCAAACTCCCCAAAGGATGCAAGATTTAAAAAAAAAAAAAAAAATAAGGAAGAAAAAAGGGGAAAAAAAGGGGGGGTGAGAGAAACCAAGCAGGAAACGCAAAAGCCTTCTTGACTGTTGTCACAAAATTACTCAAACAAAGATGTTCCCAAATAAGGATCACCAAATCGTCTCTTTTTTTCCCCAAAGTCACTTCTCTCCTATTTAAACTGGGATCAAATGCTCTCCCCCTATCCCAAGAGAGGATCAAGCATCTCATACTGTGTATCGTTGAACAGCTTTTGAAACCGTATCTTGCGCTCTCCTGAACCCAGAACGCACCGCGGGTCATCATCGAGCCGCGCCTCGGGCAGCCATTCGTTTGGCAGGTCGGGAGAATAAAAATCACCCTGAGCCTCGATGCGTCGCCGTCGCGTGTGTCCGATTCCGAACTCCTGCCCCCACTCGCGACGGTCGAATTCCATGAATCCGCCGAACTTGGTGTCCATGTTGGCAACCCAGATCCGACTGCCGTCCGGGGAGTAATCCGCTCCGCCTATCTCGCCGAAGAAATCGTGGACTTGACGCGTCTGGTAGGTCTGCGCGTTGACGATGGCGATGCGATCCGCGGGTTCACACATGAGCAGGGTGCGTGGCCCACCGCCGACGGGTGAGAAGCGGAGAGACCGATATCCAGCAACGTCGGAGTCGATGACCTGCAGAGTTCGCCACATGCGCGCATCCCAGATGTTGACGGTCTTGTCCTGGTTGCTGGTTGCGATGTGTAGCATATCCGGCGACCACGCGCATGCGAACCCGTAGTCTCGATGGCCGATCAGGGTCTGGACCGGTTTGCCCGTCTCACTGTCGATGATCCAAGCATCCGGCGCGTCGCCAATAATCACACGTAGGCGACCGTCTGGCGAGGTATCGGTGCAGTTGATCGCGCGAGCAAACTTGTGCATGGACACGAATCTATTCGTCTCGCAGTCGAGAATCCGGATGCGGTCGTCATTGGATGATATCACGGTTCGAGGGCTGTTGCTCGTCCGGTGTTTAATGATATCAATGTGGTTAGTTATCCCGTTGGGGTCTCTGGTAACGCGGCCGTCCATGACCGCAAAGTCATTGATTTCGCCTCTAACAGCGTACTCGCCTGAGAAGCCGCCGACGACAGTGACCCCGTGCTTCGCCCTCATCGTCGATATCTTAACAGAATCAAAGAACGTTGCGGAAGGAACGGGGCCCGCGAGATTCATCAGGCAATTTTGCTCGCCGTAAAACGGAGTTATAGAATACACTTTTGAGTGAGACGCATACTGTATGGTGTTCGATGCCGTCACGGACATAAGGTTCCGAAGTTGGAAATGCGCCATGGAAGCTCTATATTTGGTGTACATCGTCTTTGGCCGGAAATAATCTTCCTTCTCTGGCAACAGTCTGTGATACTAAAATAGACGGTCAATCCTCGAAAGCAATTTTACAAAATTAAAAAGGAGAGGTGTAGATCCTCACGCCATGTGGTGTGTATTTCAGGTTGTGATACGAAGTGTACAACCTATCCCTCAGAGCTCGAGCATCTGATCTCTTCACCTTCAACGTCGTGGACCACGGGATTCCTTGAATATCGTATAATCTTGATGAATCGGGCCGTGAGATCTTCGCGGGGCGTTCCCAATCTAGAACATTTGCGGCTTCGGGCGAGATAGGAACGAAGGGCTCTTTGAACGCGCGTAGATGGTATCGAGGAACGCAGGATCGCACGAACCATTGTCTTATGAACTGATCGACGGTAAGGTTCCGCTCGAACGCTGGATATTGATTTCCATTAGCATCAATGTAGATATCGCCTTCTGGGGGTGCAAGGAGTGCTGCGAGCAATGAACTAGCAATGTGTTCCTGATCTGCGAATGTTTGCAAAATCAAGGCGGGCTGGATATAATAAATGGAGTACTCCGAAGGTTGATGAAGGTCATAATACTGCTCTTCTGTCAGAAGAGGACGTGCCGGCCCCGTAGAAGACGAGGACGCTCCAGTGCTGTTTTTTGCTGTTTCGCATTGCGAAGGGCACTGTTCTTCAGGATGGCATCGCGGCAGGGCTGGGGCCTGCGGGAGGATGAAGGGTACACTTCCACTCAGAGCGGTGTCCAATCTGGAAGATTCGCATGAAACAAGAGCCAGCACAAGCTTTCTGTACCGGGCAGGGCTATGCGGGGACGCATATAGAACCCTCGACCCAGACAGAAAGGAGATTATCGGCTGGTTGACAAAGATATCAGTATGTAAAACACCGGGTATAAAGCCTTTTTCCAGGTGGCGCTTAGCAGCGACAAGAATCTGCGAGATTCTTGTCCCAACCAAGGTAGAAAATCGGTTTGCAAAACTAAAGCCTAGTTTCTGCAGCGAGATGCCTTCCATGTTGAATAGGCGGTCATCGGCGAGTCGAATGTTTCTAGGGCTTGGCGCTTGTACAATTGTGCGGGAAGACACGGCAGCAGAAGAGTTTAGGAAAGAGGCTTTCATACTTTCGGTATGCATTGATAGCCCACCTTGATTATTGAAGTCTCCATCAACTTCACCATCGTTGTGTTGGGCGTAGACGGCATCGAACGAGGGTAGGTGGGGCGTACCGAGGGGTACAGGATGCGCGCTCGCCTCGTGGTCAACCCGATGATCTTCGGCGATCGCTCCGTCGTGGTGTATGCGAGTGTCCGTCGATCTGCCTCGCCCAGGTGGTTCCGAATCCATGGCGGCGTCCCCCATAGAAACCTCGTCGTCGGAGGCGTAGAATTTGTCGGTATCCCGGTCGTCGCAAGAATCGTTCGGGTCGTTGACGGCTCCGAAGAACATGGCTGAGGGGAGTCTATCGTGCGCAAAGCCAAAGAGGTCGGAACGTTCGATCAGGCTGCCATCGTCTCTGATAAAGCGGAGGTGAGCGCTGTGTAAGCCATCACTGACCTCGTCGCCGAAGCCCTGATCTGCGAACGCGTATCCGTCGTTGTCGCCGTGGTCGTCGTGGTCGTCGTCATTGTCAAGAGCCATATCATCGTACTGCAGGCCGTCACCGAAGTCGGGCGGCGCCACGTAAGAAGGCGTGGTGGGGTCAGAAGGGGCAGCTGTCGCGAAAGAAAAGGGATCGTGTATGTTCATGTCCTGGTCGTCGGGGTCGAGGTAGGAATTGTTGGAAGCGGTGGACGACAGCCCGTCGGCGAAATCGGAGACGAAGTCCATGGTTGGTGCGTAGTAGAAGTGGCTGAGATCTTCGACGAGTTCGCCGAACGGCTGACCATCTTGTTCGGGGAAGGATAAAAGGTCATTGCTCGAACCGTACTCGGCTCCCAGGGTCAGACCCGGGTAGTCGTCGAGGCTCTGGGTGCTGCTGGCGTCGCTGCTGAAATCCGAGATGTCGACTTCTGGGCTGCCGTCGTGCGCCGAGTTCGCGTTGCTGGTGCCGTCCGGGTCGCGGGCTTCGCTGCCGCTGCTGCTGCTGTGGTGGTGGTGGTGGTGATCGTGCGCCGGCGGGCTCGGCACGCCGTCGGCAACCTTGCTGGCGTCACGTGGCGCTGTCTCGGGCGCAGGCGACTCGGCGACGGCGGCGAGGTTGTTGCTGGCAGCGCGGGCGAGAGCGCTCTCGTTGTGGTCGACCATCTTTTCTTTTCTCTGCCGCTCGACTCGCTCAGGTTTGCATCCCGTAATGTAACTGATCGATGCGAGACGTGGGCCGGATAGGCACAGCGAACAGGGACCAACGGCCAAAGGGCGGGTTTGCTTTTCGGCAGTCCCCGCTCCGGGATCGTGAGATCTGACCTTTTGGCGACGTTCTATCGATGTAGTCGGCAGGTCACGTTATCCTCCCGAGGAGAAAAACAAAGCCAGGGCCGCTTGAAGCAGAAAATTCGCCAAACGGGGAGAGCAGATATTCGAGGCGGTGCCTTGGGCCCTGGACCCAGCCAATCTCGAGCACGGCCTGTCGGTCCTGGCCGCCCATTCACCACGTAAGCATTAACACATCACCAAACAGTTTGCTCCCCGGGAGGAGGAACATACCTATCCGGGAAAACCAACTCAGAGGGTACGGTGGCCCGGCAGTCTTGCAGGACGGGTTTTATCTGAACTGGGGACGCGCCCAGCCCGCTCACCAGACGTAGATGGAGGGCTGGATGAGCGTGTCACGAAAAGCGCAACCCAAGCACTTCCGAGCGGAAGAGACACTCGATCTAGCAGTGGGGCCAAGAAGGCGTCCTGGGAGATTGTCCTGGAGGGAATAACAGGGGGAGAAAATGGCCGGTGTGAAGAGGAATGAAACCCAAAAAAAAAAAAAAAAAAAAAAAGGAAAAGAAACACCAGCGGGGAAGGGCGAATTCAGGATCACAGGGGACAGGACCTCCTTCAGAGTCCTTGTCCTTGCTGGCCTCTCAAGAGTGTAGAGCAGGGTAGGACTTTCTTTTTCCTTTTCTTTTTCTTTTTAGTTTTTCTCTTTCACTTTCTTTTTCTTTTAGTTTTGGAGTGTGAAGAGCGCTTCACCTGTTGACGTGTCTGTTATGGTTGGAGGGGGCTACGGGCAGACGTCCTGATGGCCCTGGCAGCGGTCCGGAGTAGGAGAAGAGGGGATCCGGAAGCGTTCTGAAGATAGAGTGAGTATTTGGCACCCAAGAGCGCTGGAGAACTGTCTGCGTGGGGCCTGTGGAGGTGAAACAACAGAAAGGACTGACAGGGAAGAAGCAGTCAATGTGGATGTTACTGCGGAAATGGCTCAGGTGAGAGAGAGGAAGAGAGGAAAAGAGAAAAACAGGGGGGTGGGAGAGAGAAGACAGAGAGAGAGACAGAGAGAGAGAGAGAGGAAGAATGTGTGAGAAGAACTGTGAAGAATCACAGAGGAGGGGCTGAAAGGACTGGGAATTGCTCTACTGGTAAAGGTGACGGGACGCGAAGCACGACAACAGTGAGTGAGTGAGTGATGGCGGAATTCTTGCAGAACATGCTCCCCAGGCCTTCTTCACAGCTTCTTCGACAGGGGGGGGGGGGGGGGGGGGTCCCATCAACCCGCTGGTGAGGCCAGGATTGACATTTAGACAGGCCAGGGAGGGAGAGAGACGGAGAGACAGAGAACTACGTAACTTGAACCGTGCAGCTGGCTGCTTCTGGGATGCCGACAGCACGCGCCGCCCGTGGGGTTATTTTCGGGGCGCCGCCGCCTATCTGCGCTCGATGGGGAAAAGGCCGCCAGCAGCACACGCTTGACGTTTTGACAGGGATCTGCTGTGCGGAGGACAAACCCTGCCCGCTGTTGATCAGAATCCAAGGGCCTGAAAAACCTTCTGCTCTTCGCGCTCTGGGTTGGCTGCATCGTCCGGGCATGAATGTATCAGAGTGTGAATGGAAGCCCGACTTGCGTGCCAATCATGCAGGGGTTCAACTCTCCCGCCGGTTTAACCAACTCATTCACTTCTCATAGTTTAACTAAACTAACTTAGTTTTACAGTACAGAGTACTCAATTGAAAAAAAAGAAAAGAAAAAGAAAAAGAAAAAGAAAAGAGAAGAGAAAAAAAAAAGAAGAGAAACAAAAAAGCCAAAGGACCCAAACAACATGACCTGTCCAATCTGCGCCCTCGTCCGCCCGCCTCGTCTCCCGCCACCATCCAGGTCCGAGTCGTGACAGCGCCGTCGCCCTTCACCATTCCGCACGTGCAGCAGCCCTTCAGCTGTGCGTCTGGCATGCGACACGGCTGTCGACGCAGCTCGCCGCTTCGGGACCTCCATCGACGCCTCTGTCCGACCACCTTTGAGAGGTTGAAACTCTCTCTCCCCTCGTTGCCTGCCACTCCCGCCGTCATTGCCTTGCCGTTTCCGTCGCACCCATGTCTTCCCCCCTCAAGTAGTTATGGAACTAGTATTGATGGACAGCGTGAGGCAACTTAAACCAAGCTTCTCTTCCTCACTGACTACCTACTATCGACGTAGACATGCCGCGTGACGGGTATGTACGTGCGTACGTACGTACAAACGACATGCATCCTCAATCCTTTCCCTCCCAAAAAAAAAAAAAAAAAATGGAAAAAGGAAAAATGTGCCGTCGCTCAAACGGCCAAAGCCCCTGAGGCCAGGCATCGATTTGCGATAGGTCAACTTCGTAGAGAAGAAACAAAACACTCGTCTGCCCGCTGCGAAGCAAACTTCCCCCCAATTCGAAAACGAGTAGAGTTGCTCCCCCAGAGATATTAGAACTAACTAATTAGGGTCATCTCGTCTCTCGCATCTTAAGACTCATCTCTCTCTTTCTCCCTCTCTCTCTCCCCATCTGTCCGTCTTTGGTGTACACAGTAGGCTGCTCTCCTGATCCTTGGGCTCGGCAAATGCATTTCGACAAACTCCGGTTCGTCTTTCCACAAAAGCCGGACTCGTTAGTTAAGTGTCACCTGGCTATGATGTCTTGGTTGGTCTCTTTGCCAACGAAGAGCAGACTTTAACCGTTTATGACCTGATGCGCTTTCCGTGAGGCAGCGGGAGATACGCGCTCGTGTCCGCAAATCCTCTCCGTGGACTAACCAATACAGGAGTGTTGTCATACACCACGAAGAAAATGAAAAGAAAAAGAAAAAAAAATGCAATTCACAGCTATTTCCCGACACCGGGATTTTCTCGTGACCCTCTTTTCTTTTTCTTTTTCTTTTTCTTTTTCTTTTTTCTTTCTTTTGTTTTTTTTGTGGTGAAACGAGCTCTGATATCCAAATCCCGACCGGCGTCGCTAGTTTTAGCGGAACGGCGGACATCCCAAGCATCTGGGAGTTAACCAGCGAGCTATCAACGAACTACACGCAAATCGGAGAGTTCGAGAGCAAGACAACTGTCCGACGGGGTCTAGTTACTTTGGTCTGGATCGAGAGTCGTGCAAAGAACCTCTTTCGCTTCCAGACAAGATCCCTGTGGTCATAGTTGTGCGATCCCGCTCCCGGATTAACTACTCGAGCGCTATCAAATACATACAATTCCTTTTTTTCTTTTTTTTCTTTTTTTTTTTTTTTCTGTCCCTCGATTCCGATTTGTGTTTTAGAAGAGAAAGTTTGCTGCCGGGTGCGAATGCCGTCGAGGAAGCGAGACCATACCTTTTCATTCTGGACTATCAGTTGCATTCATTAACCCCCATTCTATTCAATGTCCCTGCTAACTGCATCCTTCTTGGATAGAAGAACTTGCCGCACCGCTCATGTTGCCCGCCCATTCCAGTTCTTGGCTGCGATGTGAGATTGACATACGGGCATATGTTAAGGCTATCATACCCTACACATACCGTTATTATGAGTGCTTTATACTAATGTTTTCCCTTTACAGAAAAGTCTTCTCGAGTTTGTTCCATAGTAGGGAGGTGTAGGTTTAAACAAAAGGACGGTAAGGCTAACCATTCACGAAGCAAGCCGAGCGTGTGCGACATCCGCCTCAGCTGGCTATGTAGTCGCAAAGCTAAGAGAAGATTGTTCTGTCCGTTCGCAGATTTGAAGATCCCTCCGCCTGTTCCCCCTTTCCAACCCTCATAATAAAATCAACATTGATTCACGGTGGAAAACTGGATGCGTCAGGAGAAATGGTGAACTACTTATATTGATCTCTTTTCTCTATCTACACACACACACACACACACACACACACGGGGGCGCAGCCATAGTTGCCCATATCCCCCTCTGCATCCACTCGTATTGGTATCACCAGCTTTTCTCATAAATCGAAGACAGAAAACAGATACATCCCTCCCGGGAGAAACAACACAGAAAACAAAGCCTTCACGGGCCTAATATTTCAACAAACACAACAAAAGGGTCTCTCTCTCTGTGTGTGTGTGTGTGTGTGTGTCTCTGTGCGCCTGTGTGTGTGGCTATACAATAAATACATGCACGGCTTGGATTTACATCATAAAATAAAATAAAATAAAAAGAAAAAAGAAAAAACGGGTGAGGGGAGCGAAAAGTAGGAAGAAAGAGGAGAAAGTGGCCAAAAACTTAGACCCTGGTGGTTTTGCAAAAAAGGAGACACAATAGAAGTGTATACGGTAGAACAGCACCAAAGCGGAGGGGAAAAAAAAAGAGAAAAAGGAGAGGGAGAGGGAGTATCTCGAAAGGAGAACTAGGAAATGGAGAGGGAAGAGGACATAATTAAATTATAGCAGAGAGTAATAACTCCTGGTGGCTAGTAGTTAATAGTGGGCATGGTTTCGTGACAAAGAAAAGCCTCTCTCTCCAAATTCCCTTAGCGGTAGGTTAAAAAGGGGGGATGGGGAAAAGGACTGGGCCAACATGACATGACTCCTAACATGATGCCTTGTTTCTATCACAGGCAGACAGGGTAATAATCAAAAAAAAAAAAAGAAAAGAAAAGAAAAGAAAAAGGGCAACCGAAGTATATGGACAAAAAATTTAAACAAAAAAAAAAGGAAAGAAAGCAGCAACGTTTTCCCAAAATCCAGAAAATCTAATAATCGGATTCGTACACGGAATTACGATGCGGATAATGCGCAAAATTAGTCGTTGATTGTGAGAACGCTCCGGCACCAGTTCTTATGCGACGTTCTAGCAAGCGGGAAGAAAAGAAAGTGATTAGCATTCGTTATCCTCTGACCAAAGGAGGAACAGCGTATACAATACCTTTCTCAAAATCA